CGCGAAGGTCTTTCTGGGGGGTCGCCAACTGCTATACTAATCCTTAGTAATTTGAAACAAAACATAAATATTTAGAAGAATTTTTGAAATTCGGCTTCATTAACATCACTGGAAATGTAATAGAGAAGAAACAAAGCGCACTGTACAAAGTTGTTCTCAGTCACGAATCTATGAAATCTTTAAAACTAAAACGTCATTTGAGACGAGTCATTCGGAGCACACCAAAAAATATATGGAGTTCTTTCGTCTGTAAGAAGCTAGCTGCAAACGCCAGAGACTTGATCGAACAGGAAGTTTTCACCAGCATTAGTGCAAGCATCAAATGAAGTCGCGATAGAAAATGCCAAGCAAAAAAAAAAAAAAAAAAAAAAAACAATAGGAGAAAATCTCATCAAACGCTGCATGTACGTAAATGTTAAATAACACATTTTTATTAAAATTAAGCTTTCACCATTGTTTGCTTTTCAAGTTGATATATCAACAGACGTGAGTTCGTGTTCGCAGTTGCTGGTCTGTGTCTATATTCATGCGGATGATAGCAAAGAAGAGTTGCTCTTTTGAGAAGATAGCAGCATGGAGAAAATAAATACCTTTTTTGAAACTGGATGATTAAAATGGGTTAGAACGGCTGTGGGGGTTTGTACGGATGGTGCGCCATCTATGTTTAGCTCAAAATCGGCCTTTCAGAAAACAGAAAAGGTTTAGCTCCCTAACCACTGCCCTAACCAATCGACACCAAGAGTCCATTGCTAGTATAAGTCGTAAATTATATAAAATCTGGAGCGTTCAAAGAACTGAGCAAAAACATTAATATAGATCACGAGGTTCTGCTCTTCTACACTACAGTACGCTGGCTGTCAAACGAAATGTTGTAAATTGTGTTTTTGAATTGAAATCTGAAATCAAATTGTTCTTGGAAGTGCAAAGGAAACAAGACTTCTTGGTATACTTAAAACGACATAGAGTGGTTGGAGAGAGTATCATACCTAGCAGATGTGTTCGAACATCAAAATAAGCTTAACCTAAGCTTAACCTGAAGCTTTAGGGAAAATGAACGAATATTATATATATATATTATAACTTTCCATGATAATCTCGGGGCATTTTTATCAAAGCTGCGAAATCGGTAAAGAAAATAAATCTTGGAAATGTTGTAAATTTGAGAAACTCTGCGGTGTGGTAGATGAATCTGGTGGTGAGATAATTAAAATTTTGAAAGTAGCGATTTCTTGGCATCTTGAATCTCTTGAAAACGAATTGCATCGCTATTTCTCTGAGCTGAAAAAAGAAGAATCTGCATTTACGCATTACCCATTCTCTTCTTCCCTTGATGTTGCCAGCATTCCCGATGAACTACAAGATGAATTCTTTGATTTGCAGAATGATTCGGAGTAAGATGAAAAACTGCAGACACAATTTTGGTGTAGTATTCACCATTCATACCCAAACGTAAAATTGATTGACTTTTCGAGAATATAGTTTCAACACTATTCTTCGATTAAAAAACAAAATTAAGATAATTATAATGACATAGGTTGGCGTTAACAAAAATTTTTAAAAAATAAAAACTTAACCACGAAGGTTTAGTGAATAGTATGCAATTTTACTCATGCTATTAAAACAGTTATCAAGAGTAGTTCATATTGAAAGTCTACTAGAAAATCTTATTTTAGTGCTTATTAATTTCCATACTAATTTCGGCTTTTTAATTCTATGGGGGTCGCGGGTCACTTTCTTTTTATAAAAGGGGGTCGCCACTCGAAAAAGGTTGGGAACCACTGATTTAAACAAATGTTTGAAGCGAGTCAGAGTTTGATATATTTCTAACTCTCTCATTTCGTTTAGATGGTAGTTAAAGTTATAAAAAGCGTAGCATTTCGAGCTGTCCATCAATCGTGCCACTCCGTTGTGTACATTCTCAGTTCCCTGACCCCTTTTTTCCTACACACTTGACCCATCTGACCCACCTGACCCACCTGACCCACCTGACCCACCTGACCCACCTGACCCACCTGACCCACCTGTCCCACCTGACACACCTGACCCACCTGACCCACCTGACCCACCTGACCCACCTGACCCATCTGACCCACCTGACCCACTTGACCCACCTGACCCACCTGACCCACCTGACCCACCTGACCCACCTGACCCACCTGACCCACCTGACCCACCTGTCCCACCTGACACACCTGACCCACCTGACCCACCTGACCCACCTGACCCACCTGACCCACCTGACCCACCTGACCCACCTGACCCACCTGACCCACCTGACCCACCTGAATTAAGATTGATCCGATCGACCTACAACGACTTTCTGCAACAGCTGGATCTTCGTTATTGTGTTAATCCGATTATGGCGCACGTATATTGTTGACCAGCACTTAAATAGATTGGACAAAATCTAGAGCAAAATTTGCTGACTAGGTGATAGCGTATTTTCAATTCCAAATTCAATACAACTGGGCCTTAGAACGGGACATAGAATATGTGTGTATGTGTGTTAGTTGATCAACACATTGAAAAACGAAAACTTTGCATTTCTTTTAATGTGCACTCCTGCTCAGTGCGAACTGAATACTTTACGATTACACAACGTTTAGATGACGTCAGGGTACATACTTAAGAGACTGCTATAAATATCTTGAACTGACGGTATCTACATTTACTTCATCCCCAACCGGTTCATTGAAAAAGTCGAGTCAGCCTCTGTGATGGATGACACTAGTTTAGGTCGGATGGGTCAAGTAGAAGAAGTTAATAGAAACAGGCTATAGCTAGCTGGTTAGAGAGACCAATGGAAGTACAGGAGCTGACCGGTCACGTGGGACGTTCAGCTGACCACTAAAGCGTGGGTCTGCAGTTAGGCAGCAGTTTGTGTTAGGTATCGGTTAGAGACGGTCGAGTTAGTTAGACAATTGGATATAGGTAGCGATAGGGAACGGTAGGAGAAATATAGAGTAAGGTAGAGAATGTAGTGTGTTCGGACTGGTCATGGGAGTGCGTAGTTAGTAGTGTTAGAAGTTAGCAGATAGTATACAGATTAGTTAGGTTACGTAGGAAGTTGATTGTGTAATTTTAATAAAGAACATTATATTTGGAAATGTGTGTTTGTTGGATTTCACGAAACGATACCAGGCTGGTTTAATCATAATCACCTCCACCCTCACATTTGGTGGTGCTACTTTCCCCACCCTCAAAACTGGCAGAACATCTTCTATTCACCCCCACCCTCACACCCTCCTCCCTTTAACACACACACGGTTGTGCTTGTAAGAGGAGTGTGTACAATATCTCTTGAATATCTGTGTTTGTGAAAAAATGTATTATCGGAGTAATAAAGCGAATAAAGCTATGCTCAAGTTACAGGCGTTTAAAAAAGCAAAAGTAGAATAAGTTCCACTTCCGGATACCTGAAATTGCTTAAAAGTTGAAACAGAACTACATATTTTACTTATATATGACATTTCATCAACCTAGCTGTAAAGGTACTCAAGTTATCGTGTTCACAGACACACAGACACACATTCACATACAAACTCACACAGACATACGGACAAAATTGCAAAACTATGTTTTTTTCCGATTCAGGGAGGTGTAAAACGACGAGATTTGTGAAAATATCGATTTCAATTTTTGTACGATTAAAATACTACCTCTATACTCTGTTTACCAGAAAGTAAAAATAGGTAATGCGATCTTAAAGACCAAACGTCGGATATAGTATACCACGGTCTGTTCGTTATATTCAAGGTTTGCAGCTATCTGTTCACCACACAGTAAAATTAACATGTACATAACTTTTATCCGTTTCTGGCAGATTCAGAAGCAACCATCAAACACGGGCATGGGTTTATCTGACTTGAAATTTATCGTGTGATCTACACGCAATAGGTTCTACATAAAACACAAAAGCACGGTGTACATAAAAATATGTTTTATAAACATATAGTAGGCGCCTGCACTTTGAAGAAACATATCATTAAAGAAACATCAAAACTTTCACAAAAAATAACAAATATATTAAAGTTATGAATATGTTTATTGTTGTTACATTTAAAACAAAAGTTTACAATATTAGCAGCTTTTTAATATTTCTAAGTTTGATAAAATGAAAGAATTTAAAAAAAAAATGCTTACTATTTTAATAAGCATTGAATAAAAGATTTTTCCATGTAATAGAAAAGCTAGTTTTTCACAAATACTAAAAATACAAGTTCAAAATCGCATTTTTATCCATAGGTGTAGAAAATTCGAAGTGATTACTATAATTAAAAAAAAAACAGTTAAAAGACGTTAATAACCTCAGAGTATAAATTGAACATGTACAGTGAAAACAAATTAAGTAGAATTCTCCCAAGGCACAAATCTCACTAAAAGAAACATTGCTTAGTTATATATGCTTAGTTATATAATTAACATCTTTACATTTGTTTATATTGTTGTTCTTAAAATCCTTATGTCACGAAGCAGGACAAATTAAAAGTAAGAATTTAATTTTTAAAATGATAATAAATGTATTTTTTTTCTACTACATAATGTAAGATAATAAGACCGTAAAATTACCAAATATACTATTGAGTAGTGGATGCACGCATCACGATTCTGATTTACAACAAAATGTATAATTTAAAATGTTAAACAAATCTAAATAAGCAGTAAACAAAGAGATAAATAAGTAATAAGTTAGTAATAAATGCAATAAAAAAACTACAGTTATATAAACTATCAAGAAATATAAATATATATTCTATGTTTAGAACTACACAATAAAGTGTTAATTACTAATAAAAAGTTAGTATGAATAAGTGTTAAGCAGTCCTTACCAGCCGATGGTGAAAACTATGGAACTAAAGCAATCGTGGCAAGGTAATTAAAAATTGTAAGCAGTGTTTTTGAGTTTATGTATTATGACAACGGTCAGAAGAAACGTATTTAGCACGCGAGAAATTTTGTGATCCTTTGTCTAAATCTCACTGAAGGAGTAGTAGAACATTTCAGGGTTGACGCTCAACTAATCTAACTTTAAATGGCAAAGATCTGGATGTTAGTCCAGGAATAAAGTCCATTGAAGGAAGACATCCTGGATCCTCTGGCTTCATCTCAAATCTCTGGAACATGGAAGAGAGAAATATAAAGAGCTCCATGTTGGCCAACGACTCACCCAAACATACGCGTCGTCCGAGAGAAAACGGGACAAACTCTTCGGGATTTTTCAGTTTCCCGTTGACGTCCAGATATCTTTCAGGTCTAAATGACATGACGTCTTCTCCCCAGATTTTTTCATCGTGTAAAATGGATGGTGCATTAGGGATGATGAAGGTTCCTTTTGGAATTGTGTAACCGTTAACTTCAACATCTTTGTAACATGAATGGGGTAGGGAATACGGAACCATACAAGACAGCCTTAGGGTTTCCATGGTAACAGCGCCAAGGTAGGGCAGCTTCGTTCTGTCCAAGATGTTGGGCATCCGGTCAGTTCCAACGTTTTCAACAATTTCTCTGTAGATTTTCTCCTGAACCTCCGGGTAGTTGAGTATGTACAAGACGCACCAGATTATTGTCTGGGAAGTTGTCTCAGAACCAGCGAAAAATAATTCGTAAACAACTTTTAACAGCTGTTCATTGTCCAATGTTGTTTTGATGCCTTTTTCTAACAGGTCATTTCTCTCAGATTCATATGCTGAAATAAAATTTTCTTTCTGATCATTCTGTTGTTGCAGTTTCACCATCTCACTTCTTACAAAGTTTAGGATTTGATCAACAGACATCTTAGTCTCCCTGCCTCCGGTTAAATCAAACGGCAAAAAACGCACGAACGTCAGAAAATTTAACACGGACGTAGACTGCAAATTGTTCATAACAGCTGTCATTGCCTGTAGGGCGTTTTGAAACCTCTGGTCATTATATTCAAATCTGTGTCCAAATACAATGAAACTGATGACGTTCGATACACAGGCGTAAGTCAGTTCTCTGATATCCGTTGGTTTACCGTGTAGATCACTCAAGGCTTTCAGAAAAAATTCAGTTTCTTCTTCAATTCTCTCTGCTAGTACATTCTTCCCCATGCCCAACTTTTTCAGGATTTGCACGGTTTTCGCTCTTTGTTCTTTCCACAAATCGCCGTCTGTGAATAAAATTCCATGTCCAACCATTCCAGTTGCCTGGAGAAAAGAAACATTGTAGGTGGTATTTAAATGTTAAAGAGCAAGAATGTATGCATATTTTTTGTTTTTTGAACCACCATCTGTTCATATATTGTAGCCTACATTCTTACACATCAATATCTAGATTTATAACGACTAACGTACGTCTAAGAAAATTCTCGGCATATTTTTGGATCACTCCAGTTAAAGACAATGTTAAAACAGGTTCAAACCTCATCAAAAAACGCAGGTGGTCGAGCAGTGAACTCATCTCCCCGCTTCACAAACGTCTTGTAGAGCAGCGAATATCCGTTAAACACCACAGCAAGTTGCCCACCAAGGTACAAGCTGTGGAAAAGATGTTTGCATGATTCATAATTCAGTCATGTGATTTCGTTAAATTTTGACTTGCCAGACTCACAATAATATTAATTACTCAAAAAATGGCAATTGGTCTAAGAAGGTTCCCACGCTGATTTACATTAAGTTCCTCCTCTGATTGATCTAAATATTCCCCATACTATTTTGCCTGGTGATGTCGAACGCTTATTTACCCCAACTAATCTAATTGAAGGATTAGTTCGTCCACATTATTTGTCTGAATATGTTACCACACAGATTTACCTGAAGATGTCCCCACATAGATTTTACCTGAAGATGCCCCCACACAGATTTACCTGAAGATGTCCCCACACAGATTTACCTGAAGATGTCCCCACACAGATTTACCTGAAGATGTCCCCACACAGATTTACCTGAAGATGTCCCCACACAGATTTACCTGAAGATGTCCCCACACAGATTTATCTGAAGATGTCCCCACACAGATTTACCTGAAGATGTCCCCACACAGATTTACCTGAAGATGTCCCCACACAGATTTACCTGAAGATGTCCCCACACAGATTTACCTGAAGATGTCCCCACACAGATTTACCTGAAGATGTCCCCACACAGATTTACCTGAAGATGTCCCCACACAAATTTACCTGAAGATGTCCCCACACAGATTTACCTGAAGATGTCCCCACACTTCTGCCTCCATCTCTTGTACTGTTCCCTGGGGTCTTTGTCCAGAGACAACAGATGAACAACTACAGGCAGTGGTCTGACCGGACATGGCGGCAGACGTGGGTCATGACGTCTGAACCAGAGATAGAACAACAGAATCAAGATGGTGGCGATGGCGATGGTGGCCAGATCCATTGTGTGGAATCTGAGGAAATAATGTGAAATGTAATATCTCAAAGTACCAAATATAATCCAACCACATATACAGAACTCGAAATTTTTCATGGTTTTAAATATTTAATAAATTATTTGCTAAATTAAGTTTCAAAACGTTTAATCATACCTCCATGTTTACCATTTTTAAAATTATCTTAAATTACCTTTATTTTTATCTACATAGTGGTTTATTATTATTGTATACTTATTGCTATAATAAGTTATCTTAACTAATAAAATACTCTTTGAAATATCAAGTTACATTTACCAATAATCAATGCTTTGAAGGTTGAAAGTTGGTTTACTATTGCAATTTGCCAAACGATAAAAACGGCTGATGTTTGAAATCTGTATTTATGTAGGCATTCGTGATGTAAATGTCTGACTGCTGTTCTGTGCAACGCTTAAGGTTAACACCCAGTCGTACAGCTTTCCAACCCCACTAACCTAAATTTACAAGAAAAGATCATTCTCAAATTGTTAATATTATAGTGCTTACATTTCTAGTATGTACAAACTAATCTTAGTCTAACGTTGAAACATAGATGTTTTAGTTGAATGTAGCATTTATGTTAAATAAAATCCATTATGAAGATTTAAAGTTGAGGCTACTAGTATAATTAGAAAATTGATCGGAATATATGTAAATAAAATGTGGATCAATGTATATAATCTTGAGCTTCAGCCGATGAGGTGAGGGTCCATGTTTCTAATTCATTAAAGAATCAAGATTTTGTTTAAAAAAATTTAACTTGTTTGTTGCCGTTTTACCCTGATCATCATCACCATAATTTTTTAATGTTGTTGCTCATGGCACATGGGGCCGCTACAGAAGGTTGTTTCCACTTGTGTCTGTTTCTATTCAATTTATTTGCATTCCCCTAATACAGCTTAGCTCTAGTTAGTATCTTTACTGCTGAGCTAAGTCTCCATTGGTGTCCCCAGTCTTCCGTTTAGGCCCTTAGTTAAGCGCCCCGTTCAGTAATCGTATCTCATCTCATCTTTCAAATATAGCCTATCTAGTGCTATCTTCTTTTTTCGACAATTTCTGAAACGGCTTACACTTCTCTTTGTAACTTATGTTTATTGCCTTTTCCGTTACAGTTGAAATTATTAATGACCTATTACAATTGATAGCAGATTTTTGGCACAAGAGTGACTTACTAATTGTGTTGGTCTTACCATTTCTACGCTATTTATTCTAAAAGACAGTCATATTTTTCATTAATTTCTCAAGGGTTATTCAATTAGTAAATTAAATTATTCCTTTCCAGCTTTTTACCTTTTTATAATCCCTGTTTACTTAATAGTTTCTTCAAATAACAGAAGTCATATAACGTTTAGGTACTATTTGGAATATAACAAGGTACCTTCTCATAGCATAGCGCTGGAACCTCTGTAAATATCCTTCATTCTGTGACCTACGAATAAAATTCCACAAGCCATCAAAGAGTATATTGAGAGAGCTCGAGTTCTATGGAGTTCTGATTTGTTATCTTCACTCATGCATGGCAGTGGTTAGCATTTGCAGATCTAATCTGATATGCCGGCAAAAGAAATAAGGGGGGGGGGGGCTTCTTCTTCTTCTTCTTCGTTCTTAATTATTAGTGTTGAAGGGGGTCGAGATTTATATGCCAGTGGGTTTGAACTCGAGACTTTGTTCGAATTTATCAACCATGAGCTGTTTGTCGACTCGACCACGCCTCCAACACAATTAAGCGGTACGTGTCAACTGGTTATGCGCCATTGAGGCCATTGACTCCGATTTCAGCCTGCTTTTCTTTTTGGATTTGCTTCCATAGCCTTTGTCCAACCAAGAACAAACTACAAGGCAGCAGTTGTTTAATTTTGGAGTTGTCTCTCTTAGAAGAGTGGCTGTCCCCAGCTAACGAGCCTCATCTGCCCGAGGGTTCGAACTCGAGACGTTTCGGTTTAGCAACCATGAGCTTTACCGACTCGACCACGCCGGCGAAAGTAAGGTGTTTTAACATGTCTTTTAACTGGGATAAAATATTTCCATACAAATACATTTAGAACTAAAGTTACTTACTGCATTTCAATGCTATCTGTTTCCTTTTTTTTTATTAAATTAATTGTAGAAATGGAGAGATGGATCAATTATGCTGTCTATTTTAATGCTTAATACACGGGGATGTATATATATATATATATATATATATATATTTATATATATATATATATATATATATATATATATATATATATGTGTGTGTGTGTGTGTGTGTGTGTGTGTGTGTGTGTGTGCTATTGTATATATATATATATATATCGATGGTCTCGGTCGCAAACCGTCTAACTCCGAAAATGTAAATTTTACAGGAGAGACAAAAAACTGATTATTTCCTTCTCGATCGCTCTAATAAACATTTTTTTAAATGATATCTCCGAAGAAACTCTCTACCGACTATGCTGTAGCGTTTTAAAATGAGTTTTGTTAATATTTACAAAATTATAGCAGGTTTAAAAAGATAGACGGTTTGCTCGGTCTAAAATTCTCGGTGCAAACCGTCTATCTGTGCGCGCGCAGACTTAGCTGTTTTGAGCCGAGAATTTCGGTCTCAGCCGCGTTCGTTCGTTTTGTCCAATGAACGTGATTTAGTTATGTTTATGTTTTTAAGTTATAATTAACATTTCATAGTATTTAGATTATATTTTTAGGCTCATATTTTAATTATTGGAGTTTATTCTACATTATTGGGTCAGTTTAATTTTTAGTAGAGATGTTTTAATATGGCTTTATCGTTTTCGACTGTATTCATTATGTCTGTATTTAGCACTAGACTTGTTAACTGCTTTATTTATTACATCTTTCTATTGTCACAGTTTATTTTACTAAATCTGGTGTGTGCTGGGTTTGTAGAATGATAATAGTAAAAAAAGAAACCGTATTGTAAGATATATTATGAATGAGACATAACACACTAATCACATTAATACTGACTTAATGTTTACTTATTTTACAACAATGTAACACAAAAAATGTGTTTATTTTTTTAAATTTATTCTTCGAATAAACGTCACATAAAGAAACATCAAAATGGCAACTAAATTTTCAAAATAAGGGAAATCATCATAAAAAGGTGTGTTTATGACTTGCTTTTAGGTGCTCAAATATGACAGCTTTTATCTTTTTTCTACTCTTGTACAACTTGACAGGGGCTACAGATGAGATCATAATCTTACGACCCTAGCTTAGCAATTGCCAGCTATCTGCTAATTCACTTTGAAGTAGACAGTAGCATCAGGCTTGTAATGCAGTGCACGAATATCTGTCGCTTTGAATTCTTGATAGGTCTGACTGGTCTTTTGAGATCGGCTGGTCTCTTGTGTGGTAAGACTGGTCTTTTTGAGGGAGGCTGGTTTCTATTGTCTATTATGTGAGGCTGGTCTATTGTATGTTACGACTGATCTGTTGAGAAAGGCTGGTGTCTTGTATGGTAGGACTGGTGTGTTGAGAGATGCTTGTCTATTGTAGGATAAGAGAGGCTGGTCTCTTGTATGGTAAGAATGGTCTGTTGAGAGAGATTGGTCTTTTGTATATTACGACTGGTCTGCTGAGAGAGATTGGTCTCTTGTGAGTTACTGGTGCCTTAAAGGGTTAGACAAGTTTGTTGATATATTCTGGTGTCCTGTATGGTAAGATTGATCATTTAAGAGAGTTTGGTCTTTTGTATGTTACGACTAGTCTGTTGTGAAAGGCTGGTCTTTTGAGAGAGGCTGGTGCCTTTACGATTTGTCAGTTGACAGATGCTGGTGTCTTGTATGGTAAGACTGGTCTGTTGAAAGATGCTGGTCTGTTGAGAGAGGCTGATCTGTTGAAAGAGGCTCGTCTGTTGAGAGAGGCTGGTCTGTTGAGAGAGGCTGATCTGTTGAGAGAGGCTGATCTGTTGAGAGGGGCTGGTCTGTTGAGAGAGGCTGATCTGTTGAGAGAGGCTGACCCGTTGAAAGAGGCTGGTATGTTGAGAGAGGCTGGTCTGTTGAGAGAGGCTGATCTGTTGAGAGAGGCTGATCTGTTGAGAGAGGCTGGTCTGTTGAGAGAGACTAATATGTTGGGAGAGACTGATATGTTGAGAGAGGCTAGTCTTTTAAGAGAGGCTAATCTGTTGAGAGAGGCTGGTATGTCGAGAGAGGCTGGTCTGTTGAGAGAGGCTGGTCTTTTGAGAGAGGCTGGTCTTTTGAGAGAGGCTGATCTGTTGAAAGAGGCTAATCTGTTGAGAGAGGCTGGTATGTCGAGAGAGGCTGGTCTGTTGATAGAGGCTGGTCTGTTGAGAGAGGCTGGTCTGTTGAGAGAGGCTGGTCTATCGAGAGAGGCTGTTCTTTTGTGAGAGGGTGGTCTGTTGAGAGAGGCTGGTCTATTGAGAGAGGCTGTTCTGTTGTGAGAGGCTGGTCTGTTGAGAGAGGCTGGTCTATTGATAGAGGCTGGTCTGTTGAGAGAGGCTGATCTGTTAAGAGAGGCTGGTCTGTTGAGAGAGGCTGGTCTGTTGAGAAAGGCTGGTCTGTCGAGAGAGGCTGATCTGTTAAGAGAGGCTGGTCTGTTGAGAGAGGCTGATCTGTTGAAAGAGGCTGGTAAGTTGAGAGAGGCTGGTATGTTGAGAGAGGCTGGTATGTTGAGAGAGGCTGGTGTGTTGAGATAGGCTTTTCTGTTGAAAAATTAATCATAAAAGCATTTGCTAAAGACAACTAACTAACATTTTGTAACCTACCATATAAACATTTCTTAACACGTATCTAAACCCTCAATCTAAAGCTAGTAGTGAATTAACAATAATTAAATTTATTGCACATTCTTTTGGAAATATAATTCGAATAATATTGTTTTGATTGATATTTAGATTCTAGAATGAAGATCTAGTTTCAAAGCATTGTGTTAGCCTAACAAATTGTAAACAAATCAGTTTGGTTATTGAAAATCTGGAAATAGTCTATATTAAACAAATACTATTTGTTTATTATTCTTTAAAATGATAAAATGTAATAGAATAGTTGAAAATGATTAATCAAATATCCTTACCTATAAGTACTGTGACTGCTGTGCTGTAAAATTGTGTGATTACGGCGTGCGACTGCGTTCCCGAACAAAAGTGTACTGACAAATATAGCGATATTCGTTTTGCGCCGAGATTTTTAGCGCTAAAAATAACAGGCGGTTTGTTCAAATGATTATATCTCAATAATCATTCTACAGATTTCTCTAATATTTTCAGGCATTATGGGGAATCATATTGGCTTTTGATTTATGTAAAAAAAAGAAAATCGAATTTTTTTGAGTTAGACGGTTTGCGACCGAGACCATCGATATATATATATATATATATATATATATATATATATATATATATATATATATATATATATATATATATATATATATATATACACTAGTGTACCCGTCCCCGCGCGTTGCCGCGAGGATATAAGAGAAAGTCTGATGAAATATATAAGAAGGTTTTCATCCATGCGTTTCCAATCCTATGTTCTAATCACGTGATCTTGTTTTCTAAAACTGCGTTATTTAAATGTAAACAATACCTACGCTGGGATCATAAATATAGGGACATGGGTTTACCTACAATACCAAAACTACCGCATGAAAACCTTACGTTAATCACTCACCAAAATAATGAAGTAGAACACACTTCGGTGACCGCCCATGTGTCAGGACGTAGAGGGGCGCTCTCGAGAGCCCCCGATTACACTAACGGAGGGGAGCTGCGTACGGCCCCTGGCTACAACTAACATAGGCGCCATAGTGCTCAAAGAATAACCCAGAGCGCCAAATAGCATCCGGAAACAATTGTATCATTCGCAAAGTGACGAAACTGTACAGAAAGATTTTTTAGCGATACAAAGTTATTTTTAGAAATTTGACTTTTAATTTTGATTTGAGTTGCCCTTCCAAACTTAATTTTTTACGAAAATATCTTCATTATTTTGAGAAATGTAGGCTTTGGAATTGTTTGGATTTTTTTACGGACAAAAGGAAGCAACCCAGTGTTAATAATCTAATCTTGGTTAATTTTCCTGATTATTTTTTAAAAAAAAAACCAATTACAGGGCCCTCAGCATCCCGCATGAGCCTTTGGGGTCCGAAACTGAAATTTTTGTTCGTAGCCAAATCGCACCCTACCAGGGCGCCGGTGTACACGCCTGATTCAATTTAGTGAGCGTTTGTAACACCCCATCCTATCTATTGTCTATTATACTGTTTAGACCAAACGTAGTCGCCATAGCGTTCACGGGAAAGACCAGGGCGCCGAATCGCATCCTGCCAGGGGGCAGCCCATGCAAAATGAAATCCTCCCTCCCACCACCACTTACCCACCCCACCCCAGAAACCTTCTTGGGAGTATTCATCAACTCGGATAAACTGTATAGAACCGCAATCGTCTTTTATTTTTACATACCGTATATAGAGAAAAATCACACCCTCCCGTGGCGCTGCCCTTGCGAAATTAAAAATGATTGTTTTACAGAAACCTTATCTGAAGTGTTCTAATTAATTTGAATTTTTTCTTTTTACAGAACCCTTCCCCGGAGTGTTCTTATGAACTCTCCAAAGTTTGACGGCGATACGATGAACGCTGTCAAACAAAAATCGATTTTTATTTTTATATACCGAAGATTGAGAAAAAAAATCGCGCCCTATCGGGGCGCCGCCCCTGCGAATTTAAATTTTTTTTCGCAGAAACCTCCCCAGAAATATTCTTAACAACTTCCCATGAGAGGTGTAGTAATGCATAAAAAACACAAACAGACAGACAGACAGACAGACAGACACACAGACAGACAGACACACACACATACATTGCTTTATATATATATATATATATATATATATATATATATATATATATATATACGTGGGGACCATGCGGGACACCACCACCAACACTACCAGGTACGCCCACCGTGTTACCCCCTCCCTCGCTCTCTAAGTATATCGCTACCACCCCCACCAGTCTGGTAAGCTGGGGGGACGGGGACGACGATAATCGTCCTTCACGAGCTATTGATAGTGTTTTAAAGCACAATATTTTCAGTTGCATCATTGATACTGTCCAATTCACAAATATAAAAAGTAGAAAATAAAACAACTAAATAGCTGCCTATGCTACGCCGCGGGTCGGCTCGTATATAATATTCTCTAATTTGTATTTTTGAATAACGCATAGTCATTCCTATTAATACATTAATTTTTCACCATCAGCTCTCGATCAGGGTAAGCCACCTCTTATAAAAAAAAACAACTTTGACTAACTCTTAGTCAAATATTTTTCACATGGCAATGCTCGTAACTTCCAAGGGAGCCCATATAACCTCAATTGTGTGTGTGGAGGGGGGGGGGGGGAGGCGCACAGGTTTGAAATATATATTTATACATAAATTAGGTTTTCTTTTTCGCCCACTGTTTGGGTGGGGGGGTGGGGGGTGTGTAAGTGAAACCAGGATTAGTTTTTTTCATTATTTAAACAAATCAGGGTTTGATATATTTCTAACTCTCTCGCTTCGTTTAGATGGTAGTTAAAGTTATAAAAAAAAACGTAGCATTCCGAGCTGTCCATAAATCGTGCCACTCCGTTGTGTACATTCTCAGTTCCCTGACCCCGTTTTTCCTACACACCTGACCCACCTGACCCACCAGACCCACCTGACCCACCTGACCCACCTGACCCACCTGACCCACCTGACCCACCTGACCCGCCTGACCCACCTGACCCACCTGACCCGCCTGACCCGCCTGACCCGCCTGACCCACCTGACCCACCTGACCCACCTGACCCGCCTGACCCACCTGACCCACCTGACCCGCCTGACCCGCCTGACCCGCCTGACCCACCTGACCCACCTGACCCACCTGACCCACCTGACCCACCTGACCCACCTGACCCACCTGACCCGCCTGACCCGCCTGACCCACCTGACCCACCTGACCCACCTAACCCACCTGAATAAAGATTGATCCGATCGACCTACAACGACTTTCTGCAACAGCTGGATCTTCGTTGTCGTGTTAATCCGATTGTGGCGCGCGTATTTTGTCGACCAGCCCTCAAATAGATAGGACAAAATTTACAGTAAAATGTGCTGACTAGGTGATAGCGTATTTCCAATTCCAAATTCAATTGAACTGGGCTTTAGAACGGGCATAGTATATGTGTGTATGTGTGTTAGTTGATCAACACATTGAAAAACGAAAACTTTGCATTTCTTTCAATGTACACTCCTGCTCAGAGTGAATTAAATACTTTACGATTACACAACGTTTAGAAGACGCCAGGGTACATACTTAAGAGACTTCTATAAATATCTTGAACTGACGGTATCTACATTTACCCCCCCCCCCCACCAATCCCCCAACCGATTCACTGAAAATGTCGAGTCACCCTCCCCCCACCCTTAACACATACACGGTTTTTCTTGTAAGAGGAGTGTGTACAATATCTCATGAATATCTGAGTATGGGGAAAATGTATTATCGGAGTAATAAAGCGGGAGTGATCTCCTCTAAACTTTCTTGAATATTCTTATATACTTATAATACTACGGGGGATGGCAACTCAAGATGTAGACATGATTTTAACCAATTTTTAAACATTTAAACTTTTTAGAATAAAATAGAATCTCTTAGAAAAAAGAATTGCGCAACAACTGAACAGCAAACAGTGTGTATATAATAGTGCGGAATATTAGTACTTTATAAATTCATATGGGGTTTTCGAAAAATCAGAAATAGCGTAAAGTACAACTTTCGGTATACGGAAATTACTCAAACATGGACAGAAATTAGATCGTGTACTTATATGTTAAATTCGTCTATCTATATGAAGCTATACTCAAGTTACAGGCTTTTGAAAAACCAAAAGTAGAATACGTTCCACTCCCGATTACCGGATATTGCTTAAAAGTTGAAACAGAACTACAAATTATATATGACATTTTATCAACCTAGCTGAAACAGTACTCAAGTTATCGTGTTCACAGACACATAGACACACATCCACATACAAATACACACACAGACATACGGACAAAATTTGTTTTTTCCTACTCATGGAGGTGTAAAACGTCAATTTTTTACACTATTACAATACTTCCTATATACTTTGTATACGAGAAAGTAAAAATATGTAATGAGATCTTAAAGACCAACCGATAAAGTATACCACGGTCTGTTCATTTGGTTCTCTGACTTCGTTATATTGAAGGTATATAGCTATCTATTCTCCACACAGGCAAATTAATATTTACATTACTTTATCCGTGCTAGGCAGAATCAGACGTCACCATCAAACTCGAGCATGGGAATCGGGATATATATCGTGTGATCAACACGCAATAGGCCTACTGTTCTACATAAAGCACAAAAGCACGTCGTACATGAAAATATGTTTAGTATAGTAGGTGCCTGCAATTTTAATACATTAAAGCATCATATCAAAATTTTCACAAGAAATAACAAAAATTTAAAGTTATAAATACGTTTATTATTGTAACATCTAAAAAAAAAAGTTGAGAATATAAGAAAATTTTTAATATTTCAACATTTAATAAAATGACAGATTTTTATAAAAAATAACATGCTTGATATTTTAATAAGCATTGAAGAAAATATTTTTCCATGTAATAGACAGGCTAGTTTAGCACAACTACTAAACGCACAAGTTAAAAATCGTAGTTACATTATCAGATGAAGAAAAATCAAAGTGATTATTATAATCAAAACAATTAAAAATGTTAATAACCTCAGAGTATAAATTGAATATCCACAGTAAAAAAAAATTAAGTAGATTGCTCCCTCAGTACAAATCTCACTAGAAGATAAATTAGTATCTCTGCACAAATCTCACTTTAAATGGCAACGAATTGGTCGTAAAACCAGGAGTAGATTCCATTGAAGGAAGGCATCCTGGGTCCTCTGGCTTCATCTCAAATCTCTGGAACATGGAAGAGAGAAATATAAAGAGCTCCATGTTGGCCAACGATTCGCCCAAACATACGCGTCGTCCGAGAGAAAACGCGACAAATTCTTCGGGATTTTTCAGTTTCCCGTTGACGTCCAGAAATCTTTCAGGTCTAAATGACATGACGTCTTCTCCCCAGATTTTTTCATCGTGTAAAATGGATGTTAAATTTGGAATGATGAAGGTTCCTTTTGGAATTGTGTAACCGTTAACTTCAACATCTCTGTAACATGAATGGGGAACTGAATAGGGAACCATACAAGAAAATCTTAATGTTTCCATGATAACGGCACCAATGTACGGCAGTTTTGGTCTGTCCAAGATGGTGGGCACCCGGTCAGTTCCAACATTTTCAACAATTTCTCTGTGGATTTTCTCCTGAACCTCCGGATAGTTGAGTGTGTATACGATGCACCAAATTATTGTCTGTGTAGTCGTTTCAGATCCGGCAAAAAATAACTCGTATACAATTTTTACGAGGTTTTCATCGTCCAATGTTGTTTTGTTGTCTTTTTCTAATAGGCCATTTCTATCATTTAAAAACTCTGAGATAAAGTTTTCCTTCTGCACTTTACCCTGTTGGATGTCTTCTATTTCGCGTTTAACAAAGCTGAGGATGCGATCGACGGATGATTTTGTTTCCTTGCCTTTGGTTAAATCAAAAGGTAAATAACGCACAAAAGGAAGAAAATTCAACACTGAAGTTACCTCTAAATTGTTTAAGACTGTTCTCATTGCCTGAAGAGCGTTTAAAAACCTCGGGTCTTTATACTCAAACCTGTGCCCAAATACAACGTAACTGATAACATTGGATACACAAGCATAGGTAAGGTCTGTGATGTTCGTTGGCTTGCCTTTGAGATCAGTCAGGGCTTTGATGTAAAACTCAGCCTCCTCTTGTATCCTCTGCGCCAAGACGTTTTTCCCCATGCCCAAACTTCTCAAGATCTGCATAGTTTTGCCTCTTTGTTCTTTCCAAAACTCGCCGTCAGTGAAAACAATTCCCAGTCCAACCAATCCAGTCGCCTGTAGAAATCGATTCCAGGTTAATTAAGGTAAATGTAAGTTAGAATTAACTAATTCTATAGGCTCACATGTGATACTGTGTAATTAGTAAATTGCATCGAAGTATAATCATCGTTTCAGCTTACGTTGTGTGTGGCCACTTTTATCTATATAGTTTATACATCTAACTGGCCCAAAAAAAAAATTAAAATTATTTCAAACTTTGGCTGGTTTAAATGTTTTTTCGTCCATAGTTTACACATTTATTCTTTCAGACATAAATTCATTGAATCCTTAATTATTTTCGTTTATTTTTTAAGATATATTTTAATAATTTGATTGGCTTTTGTTTAATTTAATAATGAATACCGGTCCTTAAACAAGTTTCTGTTTCGGTATTATTTTAAACAAAAATAAATGGAAGAGTTCGTAACTTTTCTTCTAATAAAAAAATAGTGATTAACCTAAATTGTGGTTTGATCTGTTTTATTACAATTTTAGAGAGACTCCCCTGATAATTCTGATTCAAACAGCTCTGAACTATCAACCTACCTCATCAAAGAATGCTTGAGGCCTTGCACTGAAGTCATCGCCCTGCTTCACCAAAGTCTTGTAGATCAGCGAGTATCCGTTCAGCACCACGGCAAATTTCCCACCCAGTTGCAAGCTGTAGATGAGAAGCTATAGCTAGACGGTTTTCAACTGTTGGTTTACACAAATTGTGAAAAAAACAAATTGATGCGTTATTTTAAAATGTCCTATGTTAGAAGTAAATACGTGAAGGTATGTGGACAATGTATTTCAGTACCTGCTGAATATTACGGGTCAGTTGTAGGTTAGATAGAAATAGGTTAGAATAATCTAGAATTAGGGGAGAGTGCGTGTGTGAGTTGAGTTTACACTAGAATATTGTTAACCCTGGTGTGTTTATAAATTGTTATCCCAAGGTCGAAAGCGGTATAAAAGTTGGAGTGAATGGTTGTCAGTGGTTAGTTGGTAGCGGTTAGGGCGAGGGCTACTCTGTTATGTGAAGAATTGAGTCCAAATAAAAGTATACTATGTGTGTGATGAGTCGTTGTTGAGTTGAATCAAACCTGGACGTAACACTGAATATTATCGAGCCACTTTGTAAATATACACAATATACTGATTGATTCTGCAGCATCAGAATTTCATACATTCATCTCCTCGGGGTAGAAGAGGGATAAGCACTGCCTTCTACCACCCCCACCGGAAAATGTCCCCAACCCCAAAAAAATAATGTTTAATCCATTTAGAAAATACTAGCTGCATACCCGTGCTCCGCCACAGTAAATCTTTTTTAAATATACCAACTTGGGAACAGAACAAAACTAAACACAAAACAAACACAACACAAACACAACACAAACAAAACACAAACAAAACACAAACACAACACAAACAAAACACAAACAAAACACAACACAATACAAACACAACACAAACACAACACAACACAACACAAACAGAACACAAACAGAACACAAACACAACACAAACATAACAGCACCACACAAACACAACACAAACAACACAAACAACACAAACACAACACACACTCAAATAAAAACACAAACACAAAAGAAAACACAAACACAAAAAAAAACACAAACAAAATGCAAACAAACACAATGCAACCACAAATACAAAAGAAAACACTCATCAATTTGCATTCACATTTTGCTAATTATATTATTTCAACACTAATTTCCTCATGAAAGTCAGCAGAATGTGCATTCACATTTTGCTAATTCTATTATTGCAACACGAATTCCTTCTAGGAGGTCCATAGTTTTGCATTCACATTTTTTTTAAATTGCGTGAGTTGAATTTATTTTTAAATTGCCTCCCTTGGAAATGACAAAAAAGTTTAATTCGTTTTTTCTACCCTATTATTTTAAAATTTATCCACTTTTTCTAGGAATCTAAACTAAAATGAAATTTGACATTGATTCGCTTAATATGTTTTTGCAATGTGTGTGTATTTAATATTTTCTTTACGTTATGGAAAAGAGTAAAAACAGTGGTAACTATAAAATAAAATGAAGTCGTTATATAAACAAACCCTGCTCTATCGCTTATAATAAGACAATGCACTGAACAGCACTGCATTGTGCAATGTTTACTTTTATGGTTCCTTAAATCTATAGCGATGACACGAAGGCCTGAAACACTACCAGCCCGCTTATATAATAGATACTTTAAAAGATGTTCCTACACAGATTTACCTGAAGATGTCCCCACACAGATTTACCTGAAGATGTCCCCACACAGATTTACCTGAAGATGTCCCCACACTGCTGCCTCCATCTCTTGTACTGTTCCCTGGGGTCTTTGTCCAGAGACAACAGATGACCAACTACAGGCAGTGGTCTGACCGGACATGGCGGTAGACGTGGGTCATGACGTCTGAACCAGAGATAGAACAACAGAATCAAGATGGTGGCGATGACGAGGGTGGCCAGATCCATTGTCTGGAATGTGGAACAATTTAGTTAACTTACATAGACTACATTGAGGCATTTTGAGTTTAATGTAAATTAACAAAACCACAAAATTGAAATTTGAATTTATTATTCGCTGATAGTAAATATAAATAAGCAGAAATGAATCAAATGCAAAGCTTCAAAACGCAACAATTACAATACAAGTTTATCAGCTTATACTTGTATAGTCCGACGTGTACTGTAAAGTTTAACTAAAGTCACAAGTTTACCAAGATTTAATGCCGAGAGGATCACAACACTTTTCAAATTTTTCAAAGTGCACAAAATGAAAGAAACACGTTAAACTTGCTATGTGCACACATGGCACGCAGGTCGCTGCAGTCCTTGAACATTACACTTTCCCAGTGCAGTATATGGCCCTACTAACCTACTTTTACTATTACATAATGTTCTCAAACTGGGCGGCAAACTGTTTGATGCAATCTTTTTTACGATTTTTATAAATTATTTTTCTCTATGATGAAAAAAAAATCTTTTTTAAAACAGTATTTACTTCATTATCTTGCAGCATATAGAACTACACAATAGAAACGCTCATGGCATAGAGACTAGAGACCTATGACTTAGACTGTTGTTAAGATTTAATCACGATGCATTGTTTAAATGCAGCTTATTTATGGCAAACGAAAGTATGCAAGTAAGACATGATGCTAGATACGTATAGCCTCAAATTTAGAAAGGTATAGAGTCGTCTGCATACGTTTAGACACAAATTTAGAATGGTCTAGAGTGGTCGAGACTTATGCCTATTTGTGTAAAAGCACATAATTTTTCCTGAGACAAACAAGGAACATTATTTACCCACGATGCACAGCCCGTGTAGTTCATAATCCAGTTTCGAGGGAAATCAATAACCAGTTTAAATCAATCATATGCAAGACATCGAAACATAATCTATTCCACAACCTCTGCAATAACAATTTATTCGAAGTCATCACTCGTGTCCTTCATTTTTCTTTTATACTCCTATTTGTGTCAATTCATAGCATTTCGTGAGGTGTTTGATTTATTTTGAAAAAAAAATATATATTTGTTTTATTTTCTACTTTTTAGTGATTCTTAATGTATTACTTCAACTCGACCAAAAAATGCTTGCTCCAAAACACCATCAATAGCTCGCAGTCTCTGAAAGACGTTTATCTGCCGTGTGAAAGCAGCAGTGCGTGATCAAAAATTACAGACAACAGCAATATTAAGTTCTTAATCTTGCTACCTCCCCTTAGTTCCAAATCGTTAAAAACTTTATCTGCCCCTAATAGCCTTCATTAGATCGACCATCTCGACGATTTTAAACAAAACTTTCTGGAGAACAACAACTCACCAGACTGTTGGGGATGACAGCGTCTAGCTAGTTATCTCCTCTTCTGTTACTGAATATAGTAATCTATTGAGTAATTTAATTTTGTTATCTCCCCTTAGTTTAAAACCCGATTAATCAATTTTGAATTATCAATTAATCGTCTACAATAAATAAAAAATAGATAGCCTTGTATTGTCATAGAAGTGGAACATACCTGAAAGTTTGAACGAAATAGCTGCATTAGAAGTGGGCCAAAATTGAGTTGAAAGATTTGTCCCAAACCCTCAAACAAACAAATAGACTACTATTCTTACAAATCAATTTATTTTTATGAGTTTATAGAATATGCCATAATGGTATCATCCAAACATTTATAGTACTGAATAAAAGTCAAGAATAGTAATGAATAAAAGATGACTAATTTGATGCAAAGTGTTACAAATATCCATTCAATTTAATGTTATTTTTACCAAGTATAAAATTCAAATTTATGTGTCATAATATTACATAGGCATGACTTTGTTGTATTTTCATGTATTTAAAATGGGATCGCATCCCATGTCATTTCATTTTTTTTAAAATAAGTTTTCTGTTATAAGATTTTTTTTTAAAATATTTTGATCAATGTGTGAGGTGTTTGGTTTCGTTATTTGTGTTTAATTCAGCAGTATTTTGCGGTGGGCGGCTGTTGTTTTTCAATATTAAATGTACTGCTTCAGTTTAACTACACGAAGGTTTTTATTAGTTTTATTCGGCTGTGAAGTGTGAACGGTTCTTGTGTGATTAATTGACTTTACATCGCAATTATTGTTAGAACTGCGGCTTCTACTTATACAAATATCTAAGCCAAAGATTCCAACATCATCATTTCTCGTTTGTGCCCAAGACAGATGTAGTTGAGTTCATCTGTTTCAGAGGTCTGGGCATATGAAGGGATGGTGTGTTCAGCACTATGCCCAGCCGCCTTTGTTTCCATTCACGTGAGTAAGTTACCCATTAGAGCTGGATGGACAATCTACTGACTTGAACCCGCATTCAAACTCGAGACTTTCGCGTTAGTGGTCTAGCTCTGTACAGCTAGAGGACCATGTCATGTTACAGTGCTCCTGGGTGCTACTGGGTGTTACTGGGTGCTACTATGTGCTACTGGGTTAGATATGTTGAACGACCTGATGCTGGTAGTGTTGTGGTGTATTTTCTCATTATATCAGACCAATATACCGGTTGGTTGCCAGGGTTCGTTCGATGCACTATCAGATTGAATTTTAATAGTACTTTAGCAGTATTATTTTACTCCTAGGTTAGTATCTTTACATTCATTTATCATATAGATCTATATATTATGTATTCATTTTTTAATAACTTTTTTTTTCTTTCATTTCTGGTAATGCTAGTAGTTTGGATGGGTGTTTTATTATGATTTTGTGTTATTAAAAATGCTTTGTTAGGTTTGGTTTAGAATTATAATTTGTTTTTTAATTTTTTTCCCTTATTTTATTTATTTACTAAAGTTATAAATAGTTAATTATCTTGTTTTATACAAAGATGAAGGTTAGGACTGAACCACTCTTAGCTTAGCCCGACTTACACTGTCACCTGTTAAATTACACTAATCTCTGCAGGTAGATTAGATTACATTCCTGTTAGGGCTTGACAAATCAAATTATTTAATTTAAGATTCTTATTGTTAAACCTTTTTACAGTGTGCTGCTGCGCATGCGCCAATCCGACCATTTTATAAATTCCTTTGTAATGATTGTAAAATACACAAAAGCTATTTAAAGTGACCTAAATTGCTGGTGACACGCAGGTCTGTAGCGTAACAAGATAGGTGGGGGGGGGGGGGGTACGGGCTGCACGGGGTGACAACATGCAAGGGGATGACACCACAATGAACATTACTTTTAGTAAAGAGATACTGCTTTTCCAGTTAGTTTAACAGCTTATTAAAGTTAGGTACATGAATGTGTTGTTGTAATATTTAAAATGAATAAACAGTGAGAATATGTACAAATACAAATATATGGAGGCAGATAGCTTTAAAGCCAATAGGAATATGTGTTAGTTATTTTAATAATCAGTGAGAAAATTTTTTATTCATTTTTAATATAACAATCAGAATATATTTTCACAAATATATAGAACTAATCATAAAACTTATAAATCAAGGTCTTACATTAAATGAATGTATAAGTCTAGGTGAATTTGGTGAATAATAATTTTAACAGATAAATGACCTCTTAATTCAAAGCTGACATTGTAAAAAATGAATTTAGTTACTACACTCCCTTTGTATTAATCTGACTTTAAACGGCAAAGATTTGGTTGAAATACCAGTAATAAATTCCATTGAAGGAAGACAGCCTGGGTCCTCTGGCTTCACCTCGAATCTCTGGAACATGGAAGAGAGAAATATAAAGAGCTCCATGTTGGCCAACGACTCGCCCAAACATACGCGTCGTCCTAGAGAAAACGGGACAAATTCTTCGGGATTTTTCAGTTTCCCGTTGACGTCCAGAAATCTTTCAGGTCTAAATGACATGACGTCTTCTCCCCAGATTTTTTCATCGTGTGAAATGGATGTTAAATTTGGAATAATTACGGTTCCTTTTGGAATTGTGTAACCGTTAACTTCAACATCTCTGTAACATGAATGGGGTAGAGCATAAGGAACAATACTAGAGAGTCTTAATGTTTCCATGATAACAGCACCAAGGTAGGGTAGTTTTGTTCTGTCTAAAATGTTAGGCATCCGGTCAGTTCCAACGTTTTCAACAATTTCTCTGTAGATTTTTTCCTGAACCTCCGGATAGTTGAGTACGTACAAAACACACCAAATTAGTGTCTCGGTAGTCGTTTCAGATCCGGCAAAAAATAATTCGATAACAATTTTTGATGGATGATCCTTATCCAATATTGTTTTGTTGCACTTTTCCAGCGTGTCATTTCTTTTATTTAAATACTCTGAGATAAAGTTTTCCTTCTTCACTCTACCCTGTTGGATGTTTTCTATTTCGCGTTCCACAAAGTTGAGGACGCGATCGACGAATGATTTTGTTTCCTTGCTTTTGGTTAAATCAAAAGGTAAATAGCGCACAAAAGGAAAGAAATGCAGCACTGAGGTTGCATGTGAATTGTTCATGATTTCTTTCAATGCCTGAATAGCGTCAACAAAAAGTGGTTCGTTGTACTCAAACCTGTGCCCAAATACCACGTGACTGATAACGTTAGAGACAGTTGTATCCGTCAATTCTCTGATGTCTGTTGGCTTGCCTTTTAAATCAGTCAAAGCTTTGATGTAAAACTCAGCCTCTTCTTGTATTCTCTCGGCCAAGACATTCTTCCCCATACCCAACTTTTTCAAGATTTGAATAGTTTTGCCTCTTTGTTCTTTCCACAATTGGCCGTCGATCAAAATAAGTCCCAGACCTATGCCGTACTCCTGCATAAGAATAGAGACCAGTGTTATATCAAGGTGGTAATGCTTTTTACTTTTTCATATACAGAGTATAGAATAGAGAAAGTATTGTAGTCGTGTACAAAAGTTAAATGAGATATTGGAAGTTTTCGCCGTTTTACACACTCCTTGTTTATTGTATACGGAATATATAGGATGTATTTTACTCGTACAAAAAATTAAACTCAAGATTTTGACAACTTTTGATGTTTTACAACCTTCCGGAGCCGGAAAAAACATTTTTTTCAATTCTGTCATTCTGTGTGTGTGTATGTGTATGTGTGTGTGTGTGTGTGTGTGTATGTGTGTGTGCGTGTGTATATGTGTGTGTGTGTGTAAACGCAGTAACGTGAGTAGCGTTAGGTTGGCGATATTACACATACATGTATTGTATCATATTTGAAGTTTCCTGTAAACTTTGAACGATTTCCATATACCGGAAGTGTTGCCTATTCCTACTTATGGTTTCTCATAAGTCGATAACTTGAGCACCGTTTATGATAGAAAAACGAAAATGCAAATATAAGTATTAGATTGTATGTTCAGGTTTCTATGAACTTTTGAACGTTTTCCGGTAACTCTATTTACGACAACCCGAATACTATTTCAGTTAGGTAGACTAAATTCGTTCATTCGTTCGTTCGTTCATTCGTTCTTTCGTTCATTCGTTCATTCGTTCATTCGTTCATTCGTTCATTCGTTCATTCGTTCATTCGTTCATTCGTTCATTCGTTCATTCGTTCATTCGTTCATTCGTTCATTCGTTCATTCGTTCATTCGTTCATTCGTTCATTCGTTCATTCGTTCATTCGTTCATTCGTTCATTCGTTCATTCGTTCATTCGTTCATTCGTTCATTCGTTTATTCGTGCATTCGTGCATTTGTGCATTCGTTCATTCATTCTTTCGTTTATTCGTTCATTCGTTCGTTCATTCGTTTATTCGTTCATTCATTTACTTATATACTTGGTTATTGCTTTTAATTTTTTCTTACTTCAAAATTCATTCATTGTATGTTATTTTTCTAATACATAAATTTAATCATAATTATCGTGATTTTAGTGGGAAATTTTCAACGTATTTTGTCAATGTACTTAATTTTTAAACATAAATCATTATCAGATTTCGCACATTATACTTATAAAAAGAAAATCCTTATTCACCTACTTTCTGATTTGATCTACTTATAGTTTTTATTCTCCTGTTAAGATTCTGAACCATCAAACCTACCTCATCAAAAAAATCTGGGGGCCGTGCACTAAAGTCATCGCCCTGCTTCACCAAAGTCTTGTAGATCAGCGAGTATCCGTTCAGCACCACAGCGTGTCTTCCACCGAGATACAGGCTACAAAAGATATGTTAAACAATGTCCGCGTGTGTAGTTGGTTTAGACTATTAGTGAAAAACTAAATAAATTAATTCATTGTCATTGGTTAAGTTTTTTTTTTTACATGGGAAATATATGTGTTATAGTAGCAGCCTTAGGGCTGGCCGCAAAGCCTGGCTTATTGGCCCAGCTGATGTTTTGTTTCTATGGCCTGGTGTTTACACCAGCGGCCAATGTCTTCGTTCCAGTGGCCCGATGTCTCTTTCTAGTGGCCCGATGTTATGCTCGTGGCCTGATGTCTCGTTCCAGTGGCCCGATGTCTCGATCCAGTGGCCCGAAGTCTCTTTCTAGTGGCCCGATGTTATGCTCGTGGATTGGTGTCTCGATCCAGTGGCCCGATGTCTCGTTCCAGTGGCCCGAAGTCTCTTTCTAGTGGCCCGATGTTATGCTCGTGGATTGATGTCTCGATCCAGTGGCCCGATGTCTCGTTCCAGTGGCCCGAAGTCTCTTTCTAGTGGCCCGATGTTATGCTCGTGGATTGATGTCTCGATCCAGTGGCCCGATGTCTCGTTCCAGTGGCCCGAAGTCTCTTTCTAGTGGCCCGATGTTATGCTCGTGGCCTGATGTCTCGTTATGTTGCCACACGTTTGTTTAAGCGGACTGATATCTTGTTCTTGTTGCCGTAAATCACCCTGCCGATGTGTGACGAACTATCTAGATCGTTTTGAGTAATTGTGTGAATTCATGGAAGGATGTAAATTTGTTTTACGTTCTCAAGGATGTTATCTTGAAGGCGAAAGTCGGACTGTGTCTCATTGTATTGCTTTCATTGTATCCAAACATGTAAGTTTGATTATTTTTGTCTTTTTTACTTGAATTACTTTTGTGACGTGTAATGAATAAATATAATAAATGTATTGAACTGTGGGTTTACAAGTTTCATTTTTAGTTTAATATTGCTGTTGTTTAGATGTGCAGTTAGTTTTGCTCAGGTTTGATAAACCCCCTTGTACCAATGAGGATGCACGGATGAGTGAGTAAGATCACCTCTCGGTTTTATCTCCTTACATTTTTGGTGTCAGAAGTGGGATCTCAGATCTCTTTCTCAACGAACCCCTAACATATACATAATGTTAATGGGTTTTTCTGCTCTTATGGTGAAGAGATGCAGCCCGTACTGTAGGAAGACATTGTTCAGCTTTGTCAGTAGTGCAGGTTTAATCGAATCCATTAATGTTAGCCTTTTACTGAGATTATATCCACCTTTTGATCTCTTCCAACTTTGTGTTTAAGTAGCTGCTGACTTGGTTATAAAGGAGGCCTCCTTTCTTATTTATTACCGTACTAATATGATGACTATCATGTATCAGGTTTATTTGTACAGACAATACATATCTTAAACAAATTCACCACCGCTGTAGTAAAGCAGATTAAAGACGCTAAAAATGGAAAAAGGCTAAAGATACTGAGAAAAACTTGTGAAAATTAAAACCAAAAGACACACTGTACCTAAAATTGTCGCAATACTGATTTACCTGAAGATGTCCCCACACAGATTTACCTGAAGATGTCCCCCCCCCACAGATTTACCTGAAGATGTCCCCACACGGATTTAACAGAAGATGTCCCCACACAGATTTACCTGAAGATGTCCCCACACAGATTTACCTGAAGATGTCCCCCCCCCTCCCCACATATTAACCTGAAGATATCCCCACACAGATTTACCTGAAGATGTCCCCACACAGATTTACCTGAAGATGTCCCCCCCCACAGATTTACCTGAAGATATCCCCACACAGATTTACCTGAAGATGTCCCCCCCTCCCCACATATTAACCTAAAGATGTCCCCCCACATATTTACCTGAAGATGTCCCCACACAGATTTACCTGAAGATGTCCCCACACAGATTTACCTGAAGATGTCCCCACACAGATTTACCTGAAGATGTCCCCACACAGATTTACCTGAAGATGTCCCCACACAGATTTACCTGAAGATATCCCCACACTGTTGCCTCCATCTCTTGTACTGTTCCCTGGGGTCTTTGTCCAGAGACAACAGATGACCAACTACAGGCAGTGGTCTGACCGGACATGGCGGCAGACGTGGGTCATGACGTCTGAACCAGAGATAGAACAACAGAATCAAGATGGTGGCGATGGCGATGGTGGCCAGATCCATTGCTGAGAAATTAGGAAACGTTTGTGATCAGGAAATTCACATTCCACCACGAGATTAACAAGTTAGGAAATAAACAAAATGAATAAATGTAAGCAACGATTCTTTAAGTTTATTCCTATGTGTGAGGGTGGGGATTTTTTACGAAGGCGGAACGAATGAATCCAACAACACGCAGTTCAAGTTCAACTATAATTGTTCTTTATTAAAATGATATATATGTTCAAGTTTCTACCTAACTGATCTACACTGTACTATTTCTATCTGACTGTCCATACCACATGCTACCTACTACTACTAACTACGCACTCCCATGATCAATCCTAACACTAACTACCGTTCTCTAGCTCTACATATTACGACCGTCTCTGACCGCTTCCTAACACCTTCTCTACTCCTCGCTAGCTACCTATCAACTCCTGTCCTATCGCTCTACTGCCCCACGCCTCAGTGGTCAGCTGACCATACCACGTGACCGGTCAGTCTCTGAATTTTCATTGGTCTACCTCTGACTAACACGCTAAAGCCTATTTCTGCTATCTACCTGGCTTCGACGCAACATTGCGTCATCACATATCTCCCTCCCTTTCTGTAGCTGACAAATTATATTTTTCAGCGTCTGCTACTAATCTAATACATCAACAACTATCTGTCTTACTACTCTATTCTATCCCTAACATCAATCATATAAATCAAATACAAAATGGGACAGCACAGTTTACAAAAACATAAAATCTTGTGTCTGTGTTCCTGAATAAAAAAAAATGTCATTGTTCTAGTTCTTGTGTAAGTATCTAGACGTCTGTGGTGTCTCTGCTTGATAATGTATGTCTATGTTATGGTATGTGTGAATCCAATCATGTGAAACTCAGTTCTGGCTAGGTTGTCGTGTACTGGCCTTGAGCTAATCTTAGTAGAATGTGTAACTGGTTGAACGGGCTCTGCGAGCAGTGTAAGTGTATGTTTAAGTGTTATGTAATTGCTGGCGTTCCTCTGTGGTGGGTGGTTTGTGGCGAGTTCTTATGTAAATTCCCGTGAGGCGGGTGTATGCGTAACTTTCGTTGGTCAATGTGATGACGCAACAATCTCATCTCAACGCTGGTTGAGACGTCCACGGAGAGTGGTTATACGATGAACTGGAGCTGTCTGATGCGGTGGCGAACAATGACGTAACATTCCGACGCTGGGAACTTGGACGATGGGTCGTCTACCCTTTGTATGTGCCGACGTAGGTGTACGTAGCTGGCGGTCTGTTATTCAACCACAGGTTGGGGCGAAGCGGTGGTGATGCGTCCGCTGTCTTGACCAGGGCAATTCGCTGTTCGGCAGGGCTGTTCGCTGTCCAGGTAACTCAACGTAATCAGGGCTTCAGGTGGCGGCATTCTTTGAAGTGTCTGCTTCATCTCGTCTCATTCTGAATAGCGCTGGTGGGTCTGAAATTGTATTACGAGACCATGAGCAATGGCTTTACATGACCATTTATTGCCCGCGCAGACAAGTATTCAGACAGAGGTACCTTCCATTAAATGAAACCCTCAATCCCAAATGTAAACGTGCTGAACATTTGTCTGGCGGTACATACAGCATACAAATATAACATTACAAAATTAACCAAATAAAAAAATCAGTACACTCTAATCTAACAACAATCTGTAAAGCCTAATAAACTCAATAGACGTAAACACTACTAGAGCTTAGAAATAGCTTCACAAAAAGAATAGACATGTGAGTGTATACAAATAATCGTGCCGTTTCAAATCAATATTCCAACGTAATCATATAGTGGAGCAGCTCTCACTATGTGACTTCTGACTTGACCTAAACTGGCTGGCTTGAATAATTAACTGACTTCACTTTTGACTTCAGTAACTTGACTTATTTCACTTTAACTGACTTCAGTAACTTCACTTATTTCACTTTGACTTCAGTAACTTGACTTATTTCACTTTAACGACTGATTCCACTTTGACGACTTCAATTACTTCAACTTGACGACTAACGTCACTTTGAAGACTAACTTCACTGCGACAACTAAATCGACTGACTTCATAGACCTCTGACTGGCTTCAACTTCAATTCAACTTTAAGGACTTCACTGACTGACTTAAACTTCGACGACTTAAACGTCTTCACTTTGACTTCAAAGACTTTTCCTTGACCTCAACGACTTCAATATGACTTCAAAGACTTCACTTTGACTTCAACAACTTCAATATGACTTCAAAGACTTCACTTTGACTTCAACAACTTCAATATGACTTCAAAGACTTCACTTTGACCTCAAAGACTTTACTACGACTTCAAGGACTTTAACCTTGACTTCAAAGATTTCAACGACATCACTTTGATTTCAAAGACTTCACTATAACTTCGACGATTTCACTTCTTCACTATGACCTCAACGACTTTAATATAACATCAAAGACTTTTCTTTGACTGCAACATTACTTCAACTACGTCACTATGACCTCAACTATGACTTCATCAACTTATTGACTGACTTAACTGACTTCAAATGACTTCTTTGACTTCAGTTCTGACTTATACTTCACTGACTTCAATAACACAATTGACATCAGATTTGACTACTCTGACTTCTGACTGTACGACTTCACGTCGATTTCCTCGACTACTTAGATTAACAAAAAAAAAAAAAAACTCGACTTGACTTCACTTTTGTCCGTTGTTCAAAATCATGTATGGGGACGGTCCGGGTCAAATTCCTGGTCATGGGGTTGATGTTCTAGGGCAGTTGCGTGTTATCTATGTGCTGTACTTCCAGTTTCACTAATTCTAACGCTAACTCTGCTTTTGTTCTTGACATGTCTTACTATCTTGACTATCTTGTTTTCTAACTTATTCTCTACAAATGTTTCAACTTCTTCTCCTGTTTTGTCTAATGGTATGCCCTGTTTATAGCATTGAAACTCTGCCTCCATGGTTGTATATGTGTATGTGTGTGTGTTGAGGAAAGTCAAAATAAAACTAAGGCAACAGGGCGTAACAATAGAATGTATAAGGCAGAAAAACCACTGGTACAAACTGTCCAGCACGGGTATAAACCCAAACGTTTAAAAAAAATTTGGAAGGTACTTATCTTTTTGGACTTGTAGACTGTTTCCTTGTGTTGTTAATCCAAACTCGTTCCGGTTGAAGAAACCCGCTGTTGTGATGAGTTAGAGAAAGCAATACACCAGTCATACTCCGTCATGAATAGCTGATATACGTTCTTTCCCTTACTCGACCCGCGGTTCGTCCCGCGCTCCACCAAATGTGAGGGTGGGGATTTTTACGAAGGCGGAACGAATGAATCCAACAACACGCAGTTCAAGTTCAACTATAATTGTTCTTTATTAAAATGATATATATGTTCAAGTTTCTACCTAACTGATCTACACTGTACTATTTCTATCTGACTGTCCATACCACATGCTACCTACTACTACTAACTACGCACTCCCATGATCAATCCTAACACTAACTACCGTTCTCTAGCTCTACATATTACGACCGTCTCTGACCGCTTCCTAACACCTTCTCTACTCCTCGCTAGCTACCTATCAACTCCTGTCCTATCGCTCTACTGCCCCACGCCTCAGTGGTCAGCTGACCATACCACGTGACCGGTCAGTCTCTGAATTTTCATTGGTCTACCTCTGACTAACACGCTAAAGCCTATTTCTGCTATCTACCTGGCTTCGACGCAACATTGCGTCATCACACTATGTTTAAAAAAAAAACATCGATCCCTCCAGCTACCGGCGACTCAGGGGAGATAATACTATTAATTACATCAATTTTTTTTAAATTCGTATTAAATTAAAAATAATACAGGCACTTAATTAAAGTGGTATTAATAAGCACCGTCAGTAGATAAAGGGTTAAGATAATTAACCATTCAAAAATTGAGAAATTAAAAACACCCCTGAGTAAAAACAAAGCAGATTACCTATAGGAAATAGCTTTAGCACAGTCCAAAAAAATCAAATTTCTTATAGATCTACATCTTCATGACCGTTGTCATTGCAGAAACGCAATAGAAAAACTGCTCGGGTTTTATTTATATGAATCATTAACACTCTGTGCCCTTTAGTCTTATACTAGTAGAACTTGATCTCTTACTGCACTGTCAATAACCTTGTAACCTAATTTCACAAATATAATGTATCGTCAAGCTGTTCACAGCAAGCTGCTGACCGTTAGTCAATCTAACCTTTTAACTTTAGGGCTAATGCTTGAAATTATATAATTATATATATATATATATATATATATATATATATATATATATATATATAGAGAGAGAGAGAGAGAGAGAGAGAGAGAGAGAGAGAGAGAGAGAGAGAGAGAGAGAGAGAGAGAGAGAGAGAGAGAGAGAGAGAGAGAGAGAGAGAGTGATTAAAGTTAAAAGAGAGAATAAAAGCCTCTACATTTTCTTCGGGAGATCTACCCATTTCTACAAAAGTAGACATTTGCAACAAATGAAGTCTTACCTGACCTATCTTTAAAGATGTTAATAATTTTTTTTACACAATAAATAACCTTAATTTGAAATATTTTTCACAATGTCTGTATGTTGTTGTTGTTTTGTTGTTGTTGTTTTGTTGTTTTTGTTGTTGTTTTCTGGGTTGTTGCAGATCCTGCAACTTAATTTTGACCGACTTCTAATGCAGCGATTTATTTCAAATTTTACGAGTGCATTCGTCTACGGGTGACAATGTCATAATTTCTACCTTTTAATTTAATTAGATGTTTAATAAGTCACTGAAAATTAACTAAGCTATTTCAAAACGAAAGGTAGATAACAATATTAAGTACTCAAAATTGCTCGATCAATTTGCTATTGGCGGTGAATCGTTAATCACGCTGACTTTTACGCTGGAGAGTGACCACGGGAGTTGAAGCAGTTTCCCATATCCTGCTAATGATAGTTGTATTACTGCTGTGTGTCTCCACGCCTCACTTGACCTTCTCAGTTGTTTTCCCTTGAAGCGTCCAGTTAAACACCGTCCTTGTGATATCTGTATGCTTTGCAATGAGTCCCTAATTTCAAAATTATTTTTAAGTTTTAATTTAAATAAAGTAGTTTAATTATTAATAACCAAACGAGTTTGTAATAGAGTTTCAAAAATATTTTTTAAGTTTGAATTTACATAATGCAGTTTTGATCTTTAATAATCAATAATCAAACAAATTTGTTATCGACTCCGTTTGTTTTGGTTTTGGCCTACTTTTACTTAGACAGCTTCTGTGTTTGAAATGGCTTTTAGTAATAAATACTGTATTTTTTCCTCTGTCTGAGTCAAACTAATGATGTATATAGAAAGAAAAAATAATAAAAAGCGTTTTAAAAACAAGCTTTTATGTAATAATTCACTAAAAAGTAGAAAATAATTTATACACTACTTTTACTATAAACTGCACTTTTTAGTGCATTATTACATAAAATCTTGTTATTCAAACGTTTTTATCAATTTTTTTCAGTACTTTACATTTTTTATCAACTATAGAGTTGCATGACTTAACACCACTGCGCATATAATGAAAGTGATAACGCGTGTATAATAGTGCGGAATAGTTGGGTAAAACTTCCTACTAATTTGGTCAAAATTTTAATTAATTCATAGAAATATAATTAGGTAACCAATTAAGTCAAATTTAATGTCATGTTGCATTGTTTTCAAGCCTTGATACACGCACCAACGATGAACCTAATCTCTTAGTTAGAAATGCCAGAAATTTCGCTGGGGCGTTTCGATCTAGACAGAGACACTGAGTTAAATGAAAGCCTGTAATAATAAAAGCTTGTAATAACACATAAACGCGGGAACTGATTTCGTTGGTTATTTCCCTTTAATGGATCAAAATTAATGTGTTATATATTTTATATCAACATATTTGTTACACATGGATCATTTAAAATAAAACAATAAACTAGAAATTATTTTTTAATGTACAAACAAAGTAGAATTCTAAGCGGTAGTAGAATTTTTAGATTTATTTAAATCTTAGACACTATAGCGTTCTTAAATAAATTATATTTAAAATATTTGTATATTTTTTAAAAGATTTGTTTACATTTACTCTACTTCGCTACCACATAGTCTGATGAAAAACATTAGAACAGAGAAAATCCAGCAGGGAGGAAGGGTTGGGAAATAGATCAAAAATATCAAATTTCAACACATCACATTCTGTTTGAGTTTCGATACGTAAATTATAACTGTCATACAAACATGCTATGCTATCTCAGCAACTCTGTAGCCTATCTGTCCATGTATTTCATCATTCTCTTAATAGAAACGACAAAAGCAGAATTTGGTTTTTAAAAAAAGCATTACATAATTTACAGTATTCACAACCTTGTGTTAAAGAACGCAATTTTTTTTACCCCGTATTAGGATCCATCCATGCGTAAAATGCGGTGTGTTGGAATATTATGTTACTTTTAACAGGCTATTACTAACACATATATCCAAGGGTCACGTGCATAAATTATGTCATTCAATACTTGCAAATAATTTATACCAGCTTCCGTCCCCTTTTCGGTACAAAACCATACTTAACCCACACACTCGGGAACTTAAAACCACACGCAACTGGCAAATTACTAACCACACATCGCCTACACCACCGGTAACTTATTGCCCACACAACCCACACAACAGGAACGTAGTAACCCACACAACCGACTACTTACTAGCCACACATAACCCACACAATTTAAAAACTACAACTATGTCTAATTTTTAGAAAAACCGTATTAAAAAAAAACACGATTTTTATACACACTTGTTTTAATTATAGTGTCGCCTAAGATTTTAAACTTCATTATTTTTCAAGATCACTTAAGCAATTAAAAACTACATTTATTTACCTTTAATTTCATACAAATTTTGTTTATCAAATTTATTCGGTAGCTTAGAAAATGATTTGTGAAAAAAGCGCGTTTGTTTTTAAATGGCTACGATGATATGACTGATTTTCAGTGATACGATCGGTTAGTTTTTTCCCACGTTTTCTTTAACTTGCTTTCGCGTCTGTTTGTTTGTTTGTTTGTTTTTCCAATCAAATCTTGCGATCGAAATTTCGGGCACTTCCCTGTTAGCTAGCGCGCTGAAATTTTCAGGGATGCTTTGTTTCCGATGACAATACAATATTCAATTATTATTATTACTAAATTGATCCATGGAAAAATTTTATTGATCATTTTAGACCCCTATATATTTGTACAAAAAAAGGACATAACCTAGTAATTGTAGTTTGATAAAACAAGGTTCGGTACTTTCCCTCTACTCGCTTACTGAAGGAGCGAGCACGCGATTGGCTGAGTAGCGGTCACGCGGTGTTTGTGTACAAAGGAAGTAGAATATTGTAATTGATGGTCCAATGGTTTGCACGCGAGGGCAAAATGGTGAAAGAAATGGCAACACAGAAGAAACGTCGATTGGAAAAGGCACGTGTTTTTTACGAGTTGAATTCGTTTACCCAAAAAAGTGAATGCGAGAAGATAAAATCGATAGCAAGATTTGAATGCAAACAAACAGACAAAGACTAAAAAGTAGAAAATAATTATCATTAAAAAAGTTTTTAAAAACCCACGTTTTCTGATTAAACTAAAAAGTAGAAAATAAATGCTATACATCACAATAATGCAAGCGATCACTCTACTATAAGCGATAAAAAACGTGGGGCGCAGTTTCTAATACTGTTGACTCTCTACAAGCTCACTAATAAAAGTCAATAGCATTATCTAATCTATAGTAATATAACTTTTACATCTTATATTAACAATGACCGATAAAAAAACTAGTACTTCGGCGCCCCACGTTTTTCATCGCTTATAGTAGAGTGATCGCTTGCATTATTGAGATGTATAGCATTTATTTCAATCAGAAAACCTGGGTTTTTTAAAACTGTTTTTATGATAATTATTAAGGAGCGTTGTTTTGACGCGATTGACCGTTCACTGTTGTGCAGCAGAAATGTGTCGTCTGCTAGATTTCTCCCCTTTCAAATACACGGCGGGCAAAATGGTCGGGATTAAACTATTTTTAATAGGTTTTGTTTTTACCCTGCATGATTTTTAAAACATTAATGACATTAGTTTAGTAGAAAGCAAGTTATATTTCTCTATAGTTTAGAATATATTTTCATTATGTTTAGAACAATATTAAACAAAGGAATTCACGTTTTGCTTACTTTTATTATGTTCTGCTCGATAGTCTCACCGATTAGACCAAGAAAATGTACAAATGGCAAATTGGCATCAAACACTAATCGTCCATTGTTAAAGCTAGACCGGAATCGTTGAATAATACGCAACAAAAACGAATTGAAGTATATATTTCTGAAACATTGTTAAAAAGGCGGTATCGTCGTTTTTGGCAGCCATCATTACCCTGACGACGGTAAAAAAAAAAAAATAGGTAAAGCGACAAGCAATTTTACACAACTGACTATATGTATTCAAATATTTCGACTTGTAACAATGACCTTGAAAGGTAAAGGAGACGAGGTGAACCCCGGCACACTCACCATAGAAGGTTTATGGCCCGGGTCATGTGACCGGAACTCAAAGCGTTGAAACATTGCAGAGAGAAAGAGGAACAGTTCCATTTTGGCCTGGGAGACTCCCAGACAATTCCGTGGGCCGAGGGAGAATGGGACGAACTCTTCAATCTTCTTCAGCCTCCCGTCATGCTCTAGGAACCTCTCAGGGTGAAAGGTCATAACGTTATCGCCCCAGATCTTTTCGTCATGTAAAACAGAGGATAAGTTTGGACAAATGTAGGAACCTTTGGGGATTTTGTAACCGGAAATTTCCGTGTCTGTGGAGCACGAGCGTGGCACGGCAAAAGGTAAAATACTTGAAAGTCGAAGCGTCTCATTGATGACGGCAGCTAGATAAGGCAGCCTCGTTTTGTCCTGGATGTTTGGCATGCGCAGAGCCCCGATCTGTTCCTTGATCTCGCGGTGGATCTTTTCTTGTACATCCGGGTAGTTAACAACGTACACAACACACCACGTAAGCGTCTGGGCAACCGTTTCCGTCCCTGCAAAAAACAACTCATTGCACATTTTAATTAAGTTTTTGTCATCCATAGCAGAAAACTCTTCTCCGTTGTGTTTAGAATCTCTGTCTTTGAAGTAAGCTGTGATGAAATTTTCTGAAGTTTTGCCGCTATGCCCGGACTTATTTTGGTGATATTTGGCAATAAATGGCTTCACAAAGTCTGATATTTCATGTAGGGCGGTTGTAGTTCTTTTTGTCATCAAAAAATCCCCCGGAACAAACTTCAGCAACGGAACAAAATTTAAAAGTGAGTTCATCTGCACGTTAGACATAACGTCCCTCATCAGATTAATTAGTCGCTGAAACTTTGCGTCGTCGTAATCAAACCTGTGGCCGAATATTAATGAACACGTGACATTTGAAACGCTGGCATATGTCAAGTACCTGATGTCAGTCGGTTGTCCTTGCGGGTGAGATAAAGCTGTGAGGTAAGAACTGACCTCCTCTTGTATTTTCTCTGCCATGATGTTCCTTCCCATGCCGAGCTGTTTCAACAGTCGCATCGACGTCCCCCGGTTCTCCCTCCACAGGTTCCCTGAGAGAAAGGCGAAACCTTTGTCTGTGTAGCTGGATCCGCTTGCCTAGTCACCAGAGAGAGAGAGAGAGAGAGAGAGAGAGAACGAATCATTTTAAAAATATAATAAATACGTCTGATATATTCGAGAAAAATAAAATTATTTTCAATTTAGAACACGAATAAGGTTGTTTTGATTTTAAAGTAGCTGAATAGATAATAGTAGCGATAATAATTCACAGAAAAAAATAATTTCATTGAGGCATCATCTCCTGCGGAATGGTTTTATTTTTATTTGATGTTTCATTTTAAGGCATGCTGTATTTTTAACTTCTTTGTTTTTCATACCAAAAAATTTCTGGGTGGTTTTAATGAGGTTCAGATTTGAATAGATTGTGTTGTGTTGTCAAGGGAATGAGTCCTGAAAATCTGTTCACAGAATCCATGCACAGTTATCTGCCTTGGTTGTTTGTATACATTACAATCAAGTTAAATGTTGCCCTTCTTGAAGTGCATACGCACGCAAACAGATAACTATACCATGAAGTTTAGTTTCAATTTCGATTCATTTCACATCATTGAGCAAATTACATATCACATAGAATATCAGGCTTATCTATAACATTGTAACAAAGGACACCAGCGGAGTTTCCTTAGTAGTGGTCGGTTAAGATTTCCTTCGCCTCGTCCCCCAGGACTCCCCAGAATCCTACCCCTAGCCTCGTACGTTTACATAGCCGTTGCCAGTGATGAAAATATTTTGTTTACAATCTCTTACTTCGTGAACAAACATCCGGGGCCTGTCCGAGAATTCATCTCCCCTGGTAACCAGAGCTTCATGGATGACGTCATATCCGTTCAGAACGACCATTAGTTTTTCACCAAGATACAGGCTGAAAATAAATATATTTCACTATGTGAACTAAAAGATTATTTCACCAGATGAACTAAAAGATTTGGAGCAGATATTGGAGAGCTAGGACGGAGGCTCTGTGTTTCTCTGGGAACCGGAAGAAAAAAATTATGAAGTGATATCACGTATAAGAGAAAATAACTATAACTTTACATTTCTCGAATATTCCTATATAACACTACGGGAATGGCTAATAGGGATATAGGCATGGTTTCAAATCCGTTTTTTAAATCCTTAAACTTTTCAAAATAGAATAGAATCTAGTAGAAAAAAAAATTGCGCAGCAAGTGATCAGCAAACAATGTGTGTATAAATGTGCGGAATATTACTACTTTATAAATTCATATGCGTTGTTTTTTTTTTTTTTTTTTTTTTTTGAGAAATCGGAAATAGCGTAAAGTATTACATCCTGTCACCAGAAATAACTTAGAATTCGACAGAAAACAGAGAATTAGATATTTTACCTATATGTAAAATTTCATCTGTCAGAAACAGTACTCAATTTAGAGCCTTTTGAAAAAAGTAAGCAGAATAAATTCCACTTCCGACTACCGGAAATTGCTGAAAAGTGTATACAGAACTACAAATTTAATACTTATACATGAAATTTCTTCAACCTAGCTGTAACGGTACTCAAGTTATCGTGTTCACATACATACACACACACACACATACACACACACACACACAAACATGTAAACACACAGAGACATACGGATAAAATTTCACAACTAAGTTTTTCCGACTCAGGGATTTTTTTTTTAAAAATTGCCCAATGGTCCATGGAGCTAGTGAAGTAGAGTTCGGCGTATGAAGGGATGGTGTGGTTAGCAGTCTAGCGCTCTACCGCTAGGCCACGCCGTCCCATCACGTATACAACATTTGTGGGAATGCGGTCAGCTATGTAATTAGGTAAATTAATGTGGTTACCGTGCACGTCTATTTAGCTGAATTTCGATCACCAATCCGTAACATAAGCAGATCAGTCAACTAACAGTACCACCAAACCCCTTACCACCACCATCGTCACCACCCTCCTTACTGGCTCACTGATTCGTGGGAATGCGGTCAGCTATGAAATAACATGCATTTACTCAAGCGCGAAAACCACATCTGTGTAATGAGGTTTAATTAATGTGGTCACGGTACATGTCAATTTAGTTGAATCCCGATAACCAATACATAACATACGCAGTTGCGAGTTTGCTCTACAAATAGAAAAGCTAATTAACATCAAGTTTACGGTCAGGTGTAAAGGCTAATGTAGGGCTACTTATTTAAATTGTTATAACATTATGTACGATTTTAAACAAGCCGTTGCTAGACTAGCGAGTATGGGCAGCATTCGTCGCTTCTTTACACAAACAGTCATGATATTTACACAATATTTTAGTTCAGCTTAAATACCCTAAAATAGCGTTTGCTCTTATTCATATCATACTAAATAGTTCATTTTTCATCCTTAATACATTTGCATCCACATATAAAAAGGTATTTTCTGGTCTCATATAACTGTAAAATCAAAACGATTCGTAGTTAACAAGTAAAGTTAAGTACTTTTTAGAATGTATGTTTAAATACACACAGACTCCCTAATACATGTATAACTATCTATATTCATGTAGATTTAATTTTTAAAAGTATTGTTAGTCAGTATTTATTTCTTTTACACCGGTTTTACTAAATATTTCTCCAAACGGATTAACCTGAAAATGCCCCCACACAGATTTACCTGTAGATGTCCCTAGACAGATTTACCTGAAGATGTCCCCACACAGATTTACCTGAAGATGTCCCCACACAGATTTACCTGAAGATGACCCCACATAGATTTACCTGAAGATGTCACCACACAGATTTACCTGAAGATGTCCCCACACAGATTTACCTGAAGATGTCCCCACAGAGATTTACCTGAAGATGTCCCCACACAGATTTACCTGAAGATGTCCCCACACATATTTACCTGAAGATGTCCCCACACAGATTTACCTGAAGATGTAGATGTCCCCACACAGATTTACCTGAAGATGTCCCCACACAGATTTACCTGAAGATGTCCCCACACAGATTTACCTGAAGATGTCCCCACACAGATTTACCTGAAGATGTCCCCACACAGATTTACCTGAAGATGTCCCCACACAGATTTACCTGAAAATGTCCCCACACTTCTGCCTCCATCTCTTGTACTGTTCCCTGGGGTCTTTGTCCAGAGACAACAGATGACCAACCACAGGCAGTGGTCTGACCGGACACGGCGGCAAGTTCTGGTCAGTTCTACTAAACCATCGGTACACCATCACCATGACGACCAACACTAACAATAAACTCAACAAATCCATTCAACGACTTCGTAGATACACAACAGTACTACGAAACGAAAACTCTAGCACATCTAGTTGTGTCTCTGAAGAGTTGAGATTTTAAAACACGTATAAAAGAACGTTGCAACGTAATAAATACACATGTTTATCAAATCTTAAAGTAATGTGAAACCATTAATACAAAAAAAAACATTTTTCCATATCGTTTTTTATATCTTCATACATTAGCTAATGTTAATATCGGCGAACCTGTGCTCCATTCAGTTATTCAAATGCTGCTGTGGGAGATTTTTATCATAGTTCCCTCCATACTTCACCCTCTTGCTTGCAATAGACGAACATTCTATGGCCAGTTAAGTTGGCAATGAACAGCAGGCAGGCGTTGTGATTACCAAGAGTAAACCAGGGAAATAGTATATACATATAAATTGTATGTATATATATATATATATATATATATATATATATATATATATATATATATATTATATATATATGTGTGTGTATATATATATATATATATATATATATATATATATATATATATATATATATATATATATATATATATATATATATATATATATATATATATATATATATATATATATATATATATATATATATATATATATATATATATATATTGAGAGAGAGACAAAATAAAATGTAGGGAGGAAGCTTGGGTTTAACCCCACCCTTTACAGCGCAAGAATATCTTGTCTACCCCCTGGACTTCGTAACCTGCTGGCATGAAATTCTATGGCCCTGTTTGTTAGCCACTTTAATCTAACACATGACGTAAACAAAACGAGATTACTTTTCATCGAGCGCTTGAAAGATAGGAGAAACATTCACTTATGTAAAGCATCTTCTGTGTACATAATTTCTTTACTCATCGACATTTTGACTTTGGGGGGGTCGTCCATAAATGACGTCACACACGAAGGAGGGAGGGGGTCCGTAATTTTGTGACGGTGTGTGATGAGGGGGAGGGGGTTCAGATGGTGTGACGTCACACTTTTGCATTATAAAAAAAGCAATGTTAGAAAACGAGTTTTAGCCGTATTTCGCGTTTTAGAAATCTGTTTTAATAAATCGTAATAGGAATTGGTTAAAATACTTTATGTTGACAGAGTTCAGACAAGATTTTGGAACAATATCTATGTTTAAGAAAACTTCAACTGCAATTTTGAGGGGGGGGGGGGTTGTAGGATGAGGTGTGACGTCATTTTAGGGGGGGGTCTGGCTTTTTGTGACGATGTTTGACACAGGGGAGGGGAGGGAGGTAAAAATCGTCAAAAAAACATGACGTTATTTATGGATGACCCCTTTACATCAATCAACTTACTCTAAAATATCCATAATTTGTTACACAGCTTTACAATCCTTACACTTTGTTGCTGTGAATTTAACTACACTACAGGCTCAAGCCTGAAACTAACCTAGACTCAATGTGTTTTACATTACTATTAGACAATGGATTCACAGAAGGTCCGACCAGCTCAGATGCATCAGTGTCATTTGAAGTGAGGAATGTTGCAGGTATTATATGGTGATAAAAGAAAGAAAAATGTTGAATATGTTAAGTAAGGAACAAAATATAGTTTAAATCTCACGATTAATGGAAAACAAAAGAAAATATGTAGCTACATATTATTTATTTAAGCTCATATTATGCGATTGATCAAGTACACAAATTTAAATAACTATTTATAAGCAAATAATAGAAATAAAACTAATAATATGAATTGAACTGTTATAGATTTGGTTGTGTAAAACAAATACACCTCCAGATAAAATGTACACCATCATTTTCAACTTTACCGAGTTGGTTTGGATTTAACAAATGAATGCAGTAAAGCAATTAAAAATTCTTACCAACAACAACTATCACTAACTCACAATATATAAGTCTGTCTGATCCAATATAATACAAATATACACATTCAGTTAGAATACACTTAAAATAGAAAATCAGCACTATGATTCAAGTGCGTTTTCTCTAAAATTGTATTCAAATATTTCGACTTGTAACAATGACCTTGAAAGGTCAAGGAGACGAGGTGAACCCTGGCACACTCACCATAGAAGGTTTACGGACCGGGTCATGTGACCGGAACTCAAAGCGTTGAAACATTGCAGAGAGAAAGAGGAACAGTTCCATCTTGGCCTGGGAGACTCCAAAACAATTCCGTGGACCGAGAGAGAATGGGACAAACTCTTCAATCTTTTTCAGTTTCCCGTCATGCTCCAGGAATCTCTCAGGATGAAAGGTCATAACGTTATCGCCCCAGATCTTTTCGTCATGTAAAACAGAGGATAAGTTTGGACAAATGTAGGAACCTTTGGGGATTTTGTAACCGGAAATTTCCGTGTCTGTGGAGCACGAGCGTGGCACGGCAAAAGGTAAAATACTTGAAAGTCGAACCGTCTCATTGATGACGGCAACTAGATAAGGCAGCCTCGTTTTGTCCTGGATGTTTGGCATGCGCAGAGCCCCGATCTGTTCCTTGATCTCGAGGTGGATCTTCTCTTGTACATCCGGGTAGTTGACAATACACAGGACACACCACGCGATCGTCTGAGCTACAGTTTCTGTTCCTCCAAAAAACAACTCACTGCACGTTTTTATTAAATCTCTGTTTTTAAAGTAAGCTGAGATGAAATTTTCCGAAGCTTCACTGTTATGCTTGTATGTACTTTCTTTGTGTTTGTCAACATACGATTTAACAAAGTTAATTATTTCACGTAGGGCGAAAGTAGTATTTCGAGTCATCAAAAAATCCCCCGGAACAAACTTCAGCAACGGAATAAAATTTAAAAGGGAGTTCATCTGCACGTTAGACATGACGTCCCTCATTAGACTGAGCAATCGCTGGAATTCTACGTCGTCGTAATCAAACCTGTGACCGAACATCAACGAACAGGTGACATTTGAAACGCTGGCATATGTCAAGTCCCTAATGTCAGTCGGTTGTCCTTGCAGGTGAGATAAAGCTGTGAGGTAAGAACTGACCTCCTCTTGTATTTTCTCTGCCATGATGTTCCTTCCCATGCCGAGCTGTTTCAACAGTCGCATCGACGTCGCCCGGTTCTCCCTCCACAGGTTCCCTGAGAGAAAGGCGAAACCTTTGTCTGTGTAGCTGGATCCGCTTGCCTAGTCATCAGAGAGAGAGAGAGAGAGAAAGAGAGAAAAATAGCATTTTAAAAATATAATACGTCTGATATATTCGAGAAAAATACAATTATTTTCAATTTAGAACACGAATAAGGTTGTTTTGATTTTAAAGTAGCGTAATAGAAAATAGTACCGATAATAATTCACAAAAAAAAAAAATTTTATTTAGGCATCACCTACGGAATGATTCTTTTTTCATTGGATGTTAACACTTTTAGACAAAAGATGTGTTTAAATTCTTTGTTTTTCATACCAACAACATTCTGGGTGGTTTTAATGACGTTGAGAGTTGAATAGATTGTGTTGTGTTGTCAAGGGAATGAATCCTGAAAATACGAACACAGAATCCATGCACACTTATCTGCCTTGGTTGTTTGTTACAATCAAGTTAAATTTTGCCCTTCTTAAAGTGCAGTTAACTATACCATGATGTTGGTTTCAATTTCGATTCATTTCACATCATTTAGCAATTACATATCACATAGAAAATCAGGCTTATCTATGACATTGTAACAAAGGACACCAGAGGAGTTTCCTCAGTAGTGGTCGGTTAAGATTTCCTTCGCCTAGTCCCCCAGGGCTCCCCAGATTCCTACCCCTAGCCTCGTACATTTACATAGCAGTTGCCAGTGAGGAAAATATTTTCTTTACAATCTCTTACTTCGTGAACAAACATCCGGGGCCTGTCCGAAAATTCATCTCCCCTGGTAACCAAAGCTTCATAGATGACGTCATATCCGTTCAGAACGACCATCAGTTTCTCACCAAGATACAGGCTGAAATAAAATATATTTCACCAGATGAACTAAAAGATTATTTCACCAGATGAACTAAAAGATTGGGAGCAGATATTGGAGAGCTAGGACGGAGGCCCTGTGTTTCTCCGGGAACCGGAAGAAACAATGATGAAGTGATATCACGTATAAGAGGAAATAACTGTAACTTTAAATTTCTCGAATATTCCTATATAACACTACTGGAATGGCAAATAGGGATATAGGCATGGTTTTAAATCCGTTTTTTTTAATCCTTAAACTTTTCAAAATAGAATAGAATCTCGTAGAAAAAAAATGGCGCAGTAAGTGAACAGCAAACAATGTGTGTATAAATGTGCGGAATATTACTACTTTATAAATTTATATGCGTTTTTTTTTTTGTTTTTTTTTTTGAGAAATCTGAAATAGCGTGAAGTACTACATCCTGTCACCAGAAATTACTTAAAATTTGATAGAAAACAGAGAATTATATATTTTAATTATGTAAAATTTCATCTATCAGAAACAGTACTCAATTTATAGGATTTTGAAAAAATGAAGTAGAATAAATTCCACTTCCGAATACCGGAAATTGCTGAAAAGTTTTATAAAGAACTACAAATTTAATACTTATACATGAAATTTCTTCAACCTAGCTGTAACGGTAACCAAGTTATCGTGTTCACAGACATACACACACACAAACATGTAAACACACACAGACATACGTATAAAATATCACAACTAAGTTTTTACGACTCAGGGATTTTTTAAAAATTTTTTGCCTAATGGTCCATGGGGCAAGTGAAGTAGAGTTCGGCGTATGAAGGGATGGTGTGGTTAGCAGTCTAGCGCTCTACTGCTAGGCCACGCCTTCCCATCACGTGAGAATGCGGTCAACTATGTAATTAGGTTAATTAATGTGGTTACCGTACACGTCTATTTAGCTGAATTTCGATCATTAATCCGTAACATAAGCAGATGGGTCAACTTACCAAACCCCTACCACCACAAACACCCTCCTTACTGGCTCACTGATTAGTGGGAATGCGGTCAGCTATGAATTACATGCATTTACTCAAGCGCGGAAAACACTGTGTAATGAGGTTTAATTAATGTGGTCACGGTACATGTCTATTTAGTTGAATACCGAAAACCAATACGTAACATACAAACATCAGTCGATAGTTTGCTCTACACATAGAAAAGCTAATTAACATCAAGTTTACGGTCAGGTGTAAAGGCTAATGTAGGCCTACTTATTTAAACCCGTTATAACATTATGTACGATTTTAAACAAGCCGTTGCTAGATTAGAGAGCATGTGCAGCCTTCGTCGCTTCTTTACACAAACAGCCATGATATTTACCAAATGTTTTAGTTCAGCTTAAATACTCTAAAATAGCGTTAGCTCTTATTCATATCATACTAAATAGTTCATTTTTCATCCTTAAATAATACATTTTCATCAACATACAAAGAGGTATTTTCTGGTCGCATGTAAGTGTAAAATCAAAACGATTCGCAGGTAACTAGTAAGGTTAAGTACTTTTCAGAACGTATGTTTAAATACACACACTCCCTAATACATGAATAACTATCTATATTCATGTAGATTTAATTTTTAAAAGTATTGTTAGTCAGTATTAATTTCTATAACACCGGTTTAACTAAATATTTCTCCAAACGGATTTACCTGAATATGTCCCCACACAGATTTACCTAAAGATCTCCCCACACAGATTTACCTGAAGATGTCCCCACACAGATTTACCTGAAGATGTCTCCACACAGATTTACCTGAAGATGTCCCAACACAGATTTACCTGAAGATGTCTCCACACAAATTTACCTGAAGATGTCCCCACACAGATTTACCTGAAGATCTCCCCACACAGATTTACCTGAAGATGTCTCCACACAGATAAACCTGAAGATGTCCCCACACAGATTTACCTGAAGATGTCTCCACACAAATTTACCTGAATATGTCCCCACACAGATTTACCTGAAGATCTCCCCACACAGATTTACCTGAAGATGTCTCCACACAAATTTACCTGAAGATGTCCCCACACAGATTTACCTGAAGATGTCCCCACACAGATTTACCTGAAGATGTCCCCACACAGATTTACCTGAAGATGTCCCCACACAGATTTACCTGAAGATGTCCCCACACAGATTTACCTGAAGATGTCCCCACACAGATTTACCTGAAGATGTCCCCACACAGATTTACCTGAAGATCTCCCCACACAGATTTACCTGAAGATGTCCCCACACAGATTTACCTGAAGATGTCCCCACACAGATTTACCTGAAGATGTCCCCACACAGATTTACCTGAAGATGTCCCCACACAGATTTACCTGAAGATGTCCCCACACAGATTTACCTGAAGATGTCCCCACAGATTTACCTGAAGATGTCCCCACACAGATTTACCTGAAGATGTCCCCACACAGATTTACCTGAAGATCTCCCCACACAGATTTACCTGAAGATGTCCCCACACAGATTTACCTGAAGATGTCCCCACACAGATTTACCTGAAGATGTCCCCACACAGATTTACCTGAAGATGTCCCCACACAGATTTACCTGAAGATGTCCCCACACAGATTTACCTGAAGATGTCCCCACACAGATTTACCTGAAGATGTCCCCACACAGATTTACCTGAAGATGTCCCCACACAGATTTACCTGAAGATGTCCCCACACAGATTTACCTGAAGATGTCCCCACACAGATTTACCTGAAGATGTCCCCCCACAGATTTACCTGAAGATGTCCCCACACAGATTTACCTGAAGATGTCCCCACACAGATTTACCTGAAGATGTCCCCACACAGATTTACCTGAAGATGTCCCCCCACAGATTTACCTGAAGATGTCCCCACACAGATTTACCTGAAGATGTCCCCACACAGATTTACCTGAAGATGTCCCCACACTGCTTCCTCCATCTCTTGTACTGTTCCCTGGGGTCTTTGTCCAGAGACAACAGATGACCAACTACAGGCAGTGGTCTGACCGGACATGGCGGCAAGTTCTGGTCAGTTCTACTAAACCATCGGTACACCATCACCATGACGACCATCACTGCCAATATACACAACACATCCATTCAACGATTGCGTAGATACACAACTGTAATATGAAACGAAAGAGCTAGCACCTCTAGTTGTGTCTCTGGAGAGTTGAGATTTTAAAACACGTATGAAAGAACATTGCAACGGAATAAATACACATGTTTATCAAAGCTTAAAGCAATGTGAAACCATTAATACAAAAAAATCATTTTTCCATATCGTTTTTTATATCTTCATACATTAGCTAATGTTAATATCGGCGAACCTGTGCTCCATTCAGTTATTCAAAAGCTGCTGTGGGAGATTTTTATCACAGGTCACTCCATACTTCACCCTCTTGCTTGCAATAGACGAACATTCTCAAGCCAGTTAAGTTGACATTGAACAGCAGGCAGGCGTCGTGATTATCAAGAGTAAACCAGGGAAATATTATATGCATATACATTATATGTATATATATATATATATATATACATATACATATATATATATATATATATATATATATATATATATATATATATATATATATATATATATATATATATATATATATATATATATATATATATATTGAGAGAGAGAGAGAGACAAAATAAAATGTAAGGAGGAAGAGTGGGTTTAACCCCGCCCTTTAAGCGCAAGAATATCTTCTCTACCCCCTGGACTTCATAACCTGCTGGCATGAAATTCTATGGCCCTGTTTGTTAGCCACTTTAATCTAAAACATGACATAAACAAAACGAGATTACTTTTCATCGAGCGCTTGAAAGATAGGAGAAACATTCACTTATATAAAGCATCTTCTGTGTACATAATTTCTTTACTCATCGACATTTTGACTTTGGGGGTCGTCCATAAATGACGTCACACACGAAGGGGGGAGAGGGGTGCGTAATTTTGTGACTGTGTGTGATTAGGGGGAAGGGGGGTTCAGATGGTGTAACGTCACACTTTTGCATTATAAAAAAGCAATGTTAGAAAACGAGTTTTAGCCGTATTTCGCGTTTTAGAAAACTGTTTTAATAAATTGTAATAGGAATTGATTTAAATACTCTATGTTGACAGAGTTCAGACAAGATTTTGGAACAATATCTTTGTTTAAGAAAACTTCAACTGTAATTTTGAGGGGGGGGGGGGGGGTAGGCGTAGGTGTGACGTCATTATAGGGCGTCTGGCTTTTTGTGACGATGTTTGGAAGAGGGAGGGTGAGGGAAGTAAAAATTGTCAAAAAAGCATGACGTCATTTATGGAAAACCCCTTTACATTAATTAATCTACTCTAACGTATCCATAATTTGTTACACAGCTTTACCATACTTACATTTTGTTGCTGTGAATTTAACTACACTACAGGCTCAAGCCTGAAACTAACCTAGACTCAATGTGCTTTACGTTACAACGATACAATGGATTCACTGAAGGTCCGACCAGCTTAGATGCACCAGTGTCATTTGAAGTGAGAAATATTGTAGGTATTATTTGGGAATCAACAAAACAAACGAATAGTGTTGTATATTTAAGTAAGGAACAAGTATAGTTTAAATCTAACGATTAATGAAAAACAAAATGAAAATCTGTAGTTACATATTATTTATTTAAGCTCATATTATGTTATTGATTAAGTACACAAACTAAAATAACTACTTATGAGCAAATAATAGAAATAAAAATCATAAAATGAATTGAACTGTTATAAATTTGGTTGTGTAAAACAAAAACACCTCCAGATAAAACGTATACCATCATTTTTAACTTTCCCCAGTTGGTTTGGATTTAACGAATGAATGCAGTAAAGCAATTTAAAATTCTTACCAACAACTACTATCACTAACTCACTATAAAAGTCTGTCTGTTCAAATATAATACAAATATACACATTCAATTAGAATACAATTGAAATAGAAAATCTGCACAATGATTCAAGTGTGTATTCTCTTGAAACTGTATTCAAATATTTCGACTTGTAACAATGACCTTAAAAGGTAAAGTTGATGAAGTAAATCCCGGCACGCTGACCATAGAGGGTTTACGGGACGGGTCATGTGACCGGAACTCAAAGCGTTGAAACATTGCAGAGAGAAAGAGGAACAGTTCCATCTTGGCCTGGGAGACTCCCAGACAATTCCGTGGGCCGAGGGAGAATGGGACGAACTCTTCAATCTTCTTCAGTCTCCCGTCATGCTCCAGGAATCTCTCAGGGTGAAAGGTCATAACGTTATCGCCCCAGATCTTTTCGTCATGTAAAACAGAGGATAAGTTTGGACAAATGTAGGAACCTTTGGGGATTTTGTAACCGGAAATTTCCGTGTCTGTGGAGCACGAGCGTGGCACGGCAAAAGGTAAAATACTTGAAAGTCGAACCGTCTCATTGATGACGGCAACTAGATAAGGCAGCCTCGTTTTGTCCTGGATGTTTGGCATGCGCAGAGCCCCGATCTGTTCCTTGATCTCGCGGTGGATCTTCTCTTGCACATCCGGGTAATTGACAATACACAGGACACACCACGCGATCGTCTGAGCAACCGTTTCCGTCCCTCCGAAAAACAACTCACTGCACGTTTTTATTAAATTCTGATCATCCATATCGGAAACCACTTCTGTCTTGAGTTTAAAATCTCGGTCTTTAAAATAAGCTGTGATGAAATTTTCCGAAGCTTCACTGTTATGCTTGTATGTACTTTCTTTGTGTTTGTCAACATACGACTTAACAAATTTAATTATTTCACGTAGGGCGAAAGTAGTATTACGAGTCATCAAAAAATCCCCCGGAACAAACTTGAGCAACGGAACAAAATTTAAAAGTGAGTTCATCTGAACATTAGACATGACATCCCTCATTAGACTGAGCAATCTTTGGAATTCCACGTCGTCGTAATCAAACCTGTGGCCGAATATCAACGAACAGGTGACATTTGAAACGCTGGCATATGTTAAGTACCTGATGTCAGTCGGTTGTCCTTGCAGGTGAGATAAAGCTGTCAGGTAAGAACTGACCTCCTCTTGTATTTTCTCTGCCATGATGTTCCTTCCCATGCCGAGCTGTTTCAACAGTCGCATCGACGTCCCCCGGTTCTCCCTCCACGGGTTCCCTGAGAGAAAGGCGAAACCTTTGTCTGTGTAGCTGGATCCGCTTGCCTAGTCATCAGAGAGAAAGAAAAAAATAACTGTATGAATTATGTGCAGAGATTCGTGTTTGTAGTGTATCTATAGAATATAACAGCGATATCAATATACAGGATAAATAATTTTATTTTGCTATTATTTACTGAAGTGGTAGTTAATTTAATGAATAAATGTTTAAAACCTGAGGGTTTTATTTTCTTTTTTTTTTTTCTGACAAAAACATTTTGGTGGATTTAATGAAGCTAAGAGTTCTATATATTGTGTTGTCAGGGGAATGAATCCTTAAAATATGTCCACAGGCTCCATGCACAGTTATCTGTCTTGGTTGTTTGTAAAATGTATAATATAAAATAATCAAGTGCAATTGTGCGTAACAATCACTTAGACGGTTCTGGAGATTTAATTAGATGTTATTACTTGCATGTTTGGACAATGAAAACAGAGGAAATATAACAGAATGCTACTATAGTAACCAGGAATATTCTCCGTGGAGATTGTCACGGCGTAAAGATTTCCTCCTTCCCATCCACCAGGACCCCCAGCCCCCTACCCCTAGCCTCGTACGTTTACACAGCCGTTGCAGTGAGGAAAATATTTTGTTTACAATCTCTTACTTCGTGAACAAACATCCGGGGCCTGTCCGAGAATTCATCTCCCCTGGTAACCAAAGCTTCATAGATGACGTCATATCCGTTCAGAACGACCATCAGTTTTTCTCCAAGATACAGGCTGCAAAAAAATAATTGTAATCTAACTAAACGATTTTGAGCCTGATTTAAAACAATAAAAATTCCTGTTTACGTTATTTGTTAAGCTTCGCAATATGTAAATGGCAGAACTTCAGGAGTTTAAGTGTTTTTTTTAAAATAAATACTGTTTATACTAAAGTAGCCTTGTAGATACATCGAGAGCTGTAGATTGTTACGTCCCTTACATGTCCCCTGCTTGTGTGTGTGTGTTGTGTGCTGGAACGACAGGTACCCTCCCTTTGGTGTATAGTTGTATCCCTTGGTTGAGTGTGTTTACATGGAGCGAGAGGTGTTCACGTGAGGTGTGTCAGGTGACGGGTGTCAGAGCGTGTGCCAGTGTGTGAAGCAGTTAGTTGTAGTGTGGCTGTGGACGTGGAACATGGAACGTGGTGTTGAGTATTGTATTTATGTTGTAGACCCCTTTTGATCCTTTTATTATTTAAGTACTGTATATATTATTAAATATCTTATTATTATTGTTATTATAGAGTGTTAGTGTTATTGTTGTATACGTCGTATTTGTCTGTTGTTATTTATATACCCCTAGATTCTAGAACCCAACATTTGGGGGCTCGTCCGTTTAGCATGGCTACTACCAGGAGTGCCAGAAGACAGCTAATAAGTGACTTGAAGGAGGAGGGAAAGCTAATCGGGCTGACCGATGACAGTTTGGCGGAGTGGGTAAAGGAAGAGTTGAGGAGGGTGGAAGATGCGAAGGTCGAGGTTGTAGCAAAGGTATGTAACCCTGTACCCCGCTTGAGGGACATGGCGGCGATGACGGTGGACGAAGACCTGGGTGCGTATGTGAGGCATTTTGAGAGTCAAGCAAAGAGACAAGGCATTGACCCCAAGGACTGGTCGCTCCTTCTGACGGACAAGATGAGTGGACAACTGAAGACTTTCCTCGTTGAGACGGGGCTGAACTTGCATCATGACTTCGAGTCAGTAAAGGTAAAGTTATTCACGCACGCAGGTTTCAACGAGGAAAAGTATAGGGTCAGATTCCACCAGCTAGTACCAACACACGACGACATGAGAAGCTTCGCAGTCAACACAGAAGCCGCTTTGAGAGCGTGGGTCCAGCAGTCGGGAATAAAGGAAACGTTTGAGGACTTGGTGAACCTTTTGATAGTTGATCGGATAAAATCAGTTGTTACTTGTGATCTGTTGGAGAGGCTGAATGGTGCTGCCAAGGTAAGTGTGGAAGATAATCTTAAAGTTATTGACAACTATATGAGCACGCAAAACGCTAGAGTGACGAGGCCAGTAAATCAAACCCCTCCGTACGTCGCTGCTAGTTCGACAGCAGAGAGGATACCCTGGCTAAACACGACACCGCGATCTCCAGGACACCACACTTGCCCTGGTGTACAGCCTATGCATGGTGTTAGGAAGGTCAGCCGGAGCAGTAAATGTTTCACATGTGGACGTTATGGACACTATGCCAGGGATTGTCATAGCAATAGTAATAGCGGCTTTACTTGGAGAAATAGGTCAGAGAAAAGAGCTGTCGTGGAGTATGGAAACAACAAAAGACCTTATCGGTGCTACAAGTGCAATGAACAAGGTCATATTGCCAAAGAGTGCAGTATGGATATAGATACAGGCGCCTGTTATAGCTGTAGAAAGCCAGGCCACATACAACGAAACTGTCCCAACGGGACCAGTAGAGCGTGCAACTGGCGTACTGAAAATGTACATCGACGGTCAGATGATCTCAAGTGTTATTGCTGCGGTGGTGTTGGTCACATATCACGGGTGTGTCCCACAGCTCAGCGTGATATGTTAGGAAATTTTTCCCTGCTTAAAGACTCTCATATGAGAGTGAGGTAAAGCACGAAATTTGGAGGCGTATCCTTACAAAGGTAGTGTCCTTGGTAAGTTTTTTGTTAAGATAATTTATTCAATCAATGTTAATTTTTCTTTGTTTTTTTTTTTTACAGAAGCTGTGTATGATGACTACGGGCTGGAGATGATTAATGTAGTTAAAACGGCTATCGAGAAAGGAACTCAGGTTGATCGCCTTTAAGAAAAGATGACCATCTATGGCGACGTACGCATCCGCCGATGGGCCCTTACACTACAGGAAATAGCCTGTACTGTGAAACATATCAAGGGAACTGAGAACTTTGTAGCAGACATTCTATCACGAGTGTTTACGACAACTAGTGTATATGATATTGAGAAATGTATTATTGTTGGAGTATAGTATGAATATGTTAAGAATTTACTATTGAGGCATTATGATATGATTATATTGAGAAATGTTTGAGAAAGGTATTACTGATGCAGTATAGAATGATTATGCTGATCAATTTTTTTTATTGTGGCTTCTCACATGTATCTTTATAGGTTGAGATAGTCAGACCACGAGCTTGGTGCCCGGCCGGAGAAAAACCATAGTCCACTCTCAGGACCGAAATGTTCAAGCTGGATGCGAGCCACACTCTGGACCGAACTGTCCAGGCTGGATACACGCCACACTCTGGACCGAACTGTCCAGGCTGGATACAAGCCACACTCTGGACCGAACTGTCCAGGCTGGATACAAGCCAAACGCTGTCCCCACCGGTCAAAACGAGGCTTCCTAAGGACTAAAGAATAAATAGTCGAGCTCGGGCACCAACAGTGGCTAATGGAACAAGAGATGTTTGATCTCTTTAAAGAAAAGAGATCTGAAGGTGGAGGGGAGGGATGTTACGTCCCTTACATGTCCCCTGTTTGTGTGTGTGTGTTGTGTGCTGGAACGACAGGTACCCTCCCTTTGGTGTATAGTTGTATCCCTTGGTTGAGTGTGTTTACATGGAGCGAGAGGTGTTCACGTGAGGTGTGTCAGGTGACGGGTGTCAGAGCGTGTGCCAGTGTGTGAAGCAGTTAGTTGTAGTGTGGCTGTGGACGTGGAACATGGAACGTGGTGTTGAGTATTGTATTTATGTTGTAGACCCCTTTTGAACCTTTTATTATTTAAGTACTGTATATATTATTAAATATCTTATTATTATTGTTATTATAGAGTGTTAGTGTTATTGTTGTATACGTCTTATTTGTCTGTCGTTATTTATATACCCCTAGATTCTAGAACCCAACATAGATGTTATTCTATATCACGAGCGTGGTGGTATTTACCATGACTGTGGGGGCGGGGGGGGGGGGGGGCGCAAATAAGGAGAATTAAAGTTTCAAAAGAAGTATTGTAAATAACAATGTCAGTTAAAAACCTGAAACTCGCGTGATGGATATTATAATCTCAACTTGTTTTGTTCTAATATTTTCTATTATTTGAGACTTTTATAGGACTATGCTATTCCCTCGAATACACGAAAAACACGTCACTTATGAGTGTAAGACAGAGGCGTAGCTAGGGGAGGGCGGGGAGGGCGGCCGCCCCGGGCGCCGACCCTAGGGGGGCGCCAAAAGGGGTAGAAAAAAAATTAAAAGCTCATTTTAAGCTGCAGTTTTGAATTATAAACAGTCAAAGTAAAGAAATTTAACGGCGGGGAGCCTTTGCATACTGATTTAACTGTTTTCTACCTTGTTTGTGTAACTGTAAAACGTATATCTTTAAGAAACAGTGACCGGAAAAACCGCTTTCCAGCTTTACTAGATGGGGGGGGGGCGCTTTTTCGAAGACTAAAATCTGAAAAATTCACACCGGATTAAGGAATAAACCGATATAACCCAGAAAAGAAACCCATTGAACTAAAGAGTATTTTACGATTGTGTAACATAACAAACATTTAGCAGACTGTCGGAGCGGGTGGATGGGAAGCGACACTCTTTGCCAAAATTTTAAGAGAGAAGAAAATTAGTATATTGTACTGATTATTATTTTGTTCAACCTAACTGATAATTCTAAATTACCGAACCCAAAAAAAAGCAGGCTGAAATCGGAGTCAATGGCCTCAATGGCGCATAACCAGTTGACACGTAACGCTTAATTGTGTTGGAGGCGTGGTCGAGTCGGCAAAAGCTCAAGGTTGATAAATTCGAACAAAGTCTGGAGTTCAAACCCACTGGCAGATAAATCTCGATCCCCTTCAACACTAATAATTAAGAACGAAGAAGAAGAAGAAAGACCGAACCCAACTAGTTTCATATGCGCAATCACCGAACCCTCCTTAATAGTTGTATCGTCCACAATGACAAAATCCGATAGTGAATCATATGAGTCGGGTGTGTGTCTTAACCAGTGTTTCTTCCAGACTTTTTTCTCCAGGGGGCACTTGAAATTTTCGGGGGGGGGGGGGGGGGGGGGCGGTAGACTTTCTTCGGGGGGGGGGGGGGGCGGACACTGTTAAAGGTATATAATATATTTTCTATATAAATTATATAAATTTCATTTAACCCCCGGAAGAGATGCCTGGAAGAAACTCCGGTCTTGACATCCGCGGAAGACCTGAGACTGAATTACCAAACCACTCGGGTTCGATGGATCCCACTGTTCTAAGCCCTTTTGATTTTCTACTTTTTATTCGTTTCGGCATCTTAAGGGGAATTTAATTGGCGTCCAGTGAAGTTTTAGGGAACGACAATCAGCGTAATTGTTAAGTTTTTTCCAGACTGTCGCACACACAAACACACACGCATATATATATATATATATATATATATATATATATATATATATATATATATATATATATATATATATATATATATATATATATATATATATATATATATATGGGGGCGCCAAAATGAAAGTTCGCCCCGGGCGCCGGGAGAGGTCGCTACGCCTCTGGTGTAAGATAGTGTAGTTTATTACATAAGACACTGATTTACTTAATAATATCCCCACAAAGATTTACCTGAAGATGTCCCCACACAGATTTACCTGAAGATGTCCCCACACAGATTTACCTGAAGATGTCCCCACACAGATTTACCTGAAGATGTCCCCACACAGATTTACCTGAAGATGTCCACACACAGATTTACCTGAAGATGTCCCCACACAGATTTACCTGAATATGTCCCCATACAGATTTACCTGAAGATGTCCCCACACAGATTTACCTGAAGATGCCCCCACACGGATTTACCTGAAGATGTCCCCACACAGATTTACCTGAAGATGTCCACACACAGATTTACCTGAAGATGTCCCCACACAGATTTACCTGAAGATGTCCCCACACAGATTTACCTGATGATGTCCCCACACAGATTTACCTGAAGATGTCCCCACACAGATTTACCTGAAGATGTCCCCACACAGATTTACCTGAAGATGTCCCCACACAGATTTACCTGAAGATGTCCCCACACAGATTTACCTGAAGATGTCCCCACACAGATTTACCTGAGGATGTCCCCACACAGATTTACCTGAAGATGTCCCCACACAGATTTACCTGAAGATGTCCCCACACAGATTTACCTGAAGATATCCCCACACAGATTTACCTGAAGATGTCCCCACACAGATTTACCTGAAGATATCCCCACACAGATTTACCTGAAGATGTCCCCACACAGATTTACCTGAAGATGTTCCTACACAGATTTACCTGAAGATGTCCCCACACAGATTTACCTGAAGATGTCCCCACACAGATTTACCTGAAGATATCCCCACACTGCTGCCTCCATCTCTTGTACTGTTCCCTGGGGTCTTTGTCCAGAGACAACAGATGACCAACTACAGGCAGTGGTCTGACCGGACATGGCGGCAAGTTCTGGTCAGTTCTACTAAACCATCGGTACACTATCACCATGACGACCAGCACTAACATTAAACTCAACACATCCATTGAGAACGTCTCAGATCACACACATGAAAAGTTCAACAAAACACAAGCTGTGTCTCCGATGTACTTATATTTCAAAACATGAATCCTACCAATAAAAAAATCCGATCTATGAAATACGAACACACATTTGTTCATTCTTCAAGCAATGTATCACTGTGAATAGATTATACAACAGCGCCAAGTCCTAGTTCCTGTGTATACAAAGCGGCAAGTGTTGAACAACCCAAGCATGATATCTGAAACCCTTGAACCCTTGAACCCGTGAACCTGTGCCACATTCAGAACATTGAGTGTAACCCGGGCAGATTTTTATCGTCGCTTTAAAAATCCCTCTCCCTCAAGCCTCCAGTACATAAACACGGTCAGTTAAGTGCACGCATTGTAAACAGACTCGAAAAATATATTTTTACAGTAAACCACTGATGGATACGAACACACACATTAACACATAGATCTATATTTTATTTTTACATTTATTTATATTTATCATACATTTATAAAAAATGTATATACATATATATATATATACTATATAAAGGGCCTCTGAACATATATATATATATATATATATATATATATATATATATATATATATATATATATATATATATATATATATATAGGGCTTATAAACGTGTATATTTATACCCAGGCCTGCATGTATATACATATATAATAATAAAATATATATAAATGTGTGTGTCATTATTAGTGTCCGCATGTGTGCGTGTTAGTGTATAAGTATGTGATTATGGCTGTAATACCAAGGATCTAGAACGACCACTGAATGTCCCTACCAGCACAGTGTTTACCCTCCGTTAACCAAATGTTGCACCCAGTGTACTGTTAATTTCCCCTCATAGTCACCAGCTGGCATTCATTGAAGCCGACGGAAAAATTTGAGTCTAAATTTATCAACTGTTTTTATGGCCGAGGGACTTTGTCCTGTTTTGGTCGGTACGACATATTACGCATTTTACCATGGTTAATTGTATACATCCAACTTTTGTTGTTAACATCTTAAGGAGAAAGCTAAACTTTAAAATTATCATTAAAAAAGTTTTTAAAAACCCACGTTTTCTGATTGAACTAAAAAGTAGAAAATAAATGCTATACATCACAATAATGCAAGCGATCACTCTACTATAAGCGATGAAAAACGTGGGGCGCCGAAGTAAAAGTTTTTTATCGGTCATTGTTAATATAAGATGTAAACGTTATATTACTATTGATTAGATAATACTATTGACTTTTATTAGGGAGCTTGTAGAGAGTCAACAGTATAAGAAACTGTAAGAAAATCACGGCGCCCCACGTTTTTCATCGCTTATAGTAGAGTGATCGCTTGCATTATTGTGATGTATAGCATTTATTTTCTACTTTTTAGTTCAATCAGAAAACGTGGGTTTTTTAAAACTTTTTTTTAATGATAATTATTTTCTACTTTTTAGTCTTTGTCTGTTTGTTTGCTTTAAAATCTTGCTATCGATTTTATCTTTTCGCATTCACTTTTTTTTTGGTAAACGAAGACAACTCGTAAAAAACACGTGCCTTGAACCCGTGTCGAGTGGGTTAGCAATCGTGTGCCCAACCACTCGACCATATCGTCTCCCCCATACTGGCCACCAGTTGTTACGTTCTGGTTGTTTGTACACAAACACCGCGTGACAACTACTCAGTAAGCAAAAAGATGGAGAGTACCGAACCTTGTTTTCATCAAATTACAACTACTGGGTTATGTCCCTTTCCCCCCACGTTTTTTTGTACAATTATATAGCGGTCTAAAATGATCAATAAAATGTTTCCATGGATCAATTTAGTAATAATAACAATTGAATATTCTATTGTCATTGGAAACAAAGCTTCCCTGAAAATTTCATCGCGCTAGCTAACTGGGAAGTGCCCGAAATTTCGATCGCAAGTTTTGATTGGAAAGACGCGAAAGCAAGTTAAAGAAAACGTGGTAAAATACATTCAACTTGTGTCCTTTATTTCTTTAAGAGCTAGCTAAACTTAGACTTAAACGCACTTAATAGATGTATGAAGACACTTATATTAGGCATGATTGGATCAATGTCTTTAGATGCACTAATGGCCTTCGCTCTCCCTATCATTGAAAAACATAATGGCATTAAATTAATCAAAATTGTTTTAACAATTTGTATTTAGTTTCTAGAGGAACTAAGGCACATATCAGAGGCGTAGCGACCCTTCCCGGCGCCCGGGGAGAAACTTTCGATTTGCACCCCCCCTCCCCTCGAAGTTTTCATTTGCACCCCCCCCCCTCAAACTTTCAATTTGGCGCCCCCCCCCCCTAAGGTCGGCGCCCGGGACATATGCCCCCCGCCCCCTCCCCCCTCGCTACGCCTCTGGCACATATAGGTGTTAGAACACAAAACTATTGTGGAGGGGAGGGGTCACTGTTTAAGGTGTGTATTTTTAGATGAGCTGTATTATTATTTTTTTCGATTTCGCCCAGATGTATTCCGGGAACGGGAGGGGGGGGGGGGGCGGGGCTCACTTTTTTACACTTCACCAACTCATCCCCCCCCCCTCTCCCTCAAATATAACTGGTGAAGTAAATTCCTATTGCTCTTGCAAGTTACCGTTGAATAAATGTTCATGTTCAGATACGTGTAGAGGTTGTCAACAACCATTGCTTACCATCTTGCAACGATAAAAAAAATTAGCCTAGAAGTAACAAAAACTACGACGGGTTAAATGGTGGTATTTTTTAATCGCAAACTCAAACTGCTCCCATAACCCTTCACGATGCACGAGAATAATAATAAAACATACGCACGCACATACAAACACATACATACAAACACAAGTTCATATATAAACAGGTGAAGACTTAAAATTAGACACACACGCACAGATACACTCGCACAGACACACGCACATACATAAAGACATACTCATGCATATGCTCCCATACACCTAATCCACACCGCCATGTTGACCTTGTGTTTACCATAAAGTGCTGCGTGTGGCTTAACACACACACGCACAGATACACTCGCACACATACACGCACATTTATACAGGTACAGGCATAAACACTGACACACAGACAGCGACACTCGCACAGACACACGCACATACATAAAGACATACTCATTCATATGCTCCCATACACCTAATCCACACCGCCATGTTGACCTTGTGTTTACCATAAAGTGCTGCGTGTGGTTGCATGTACTTTTATGTTCCCTCATAAACAAGCAGCAGTTGTCGTTACACCCATGTCCACCCCAACCCAACATTCCCCCCCCTCAACCCCCCCTCCCTTCCCCCCCCCCCCACCACAACCACCCTAACACCCAACCACACAATAGACAAAACAAACTAATTAACATTTTACTCGACAAGCATTGCTTGATGAACTTTTCCATTTTAATTTATTTCTGACACCACAATAACAAAGGGTTATTCTTAAAAGTGCTAACATCGAATGTATTTTTAGAATGGAGGTTTACCAGGACATTGTGATAAAACTAGCGTAAAGTGAGTTATCTTGCAAGTAAAAGAATGTTAACTTGGATCAAGTTATCTCACATGCAATGTCTCACATATCCCATAATATTAAACGTTGCTAAAGAGAGCTCAATCTAAATAAACAATAATATAGGATCACTTATTTTAGATCTAGTCGTTTATGTTGATATCGTGTTTTATGTATGTTGATACCATGATGTTTTAATTATGTTGATAGCATGATGTTTTAATTATGTTGATACCTTGATGTTTTAATTATGTTGATACCATGATGTTTTAATTATGTTGATACCATGATGTTTTAATTATGTTGATACTATGATGTTTTAATTATGTTGATACCATGATGTTTTAATTATGTTGATACCTTGATGTTTTAATTATGTTGATAGCATGTTATATTTATCAAATCTTCTTGGATATGGATGAAAAGTAGAAAGGATAAAATTGTAAAATTGTTCATTTGTTTTAATTATCGTTGGTACATTATAGCGACCAACGTAATTACTAAAGAATTTTTTTTTTTTTACATTTCTTTTAGTATACATTTAAAAGCTTTGTATTATTAAGGTGGGTTTTCTTTCTGTTCTATTTGTTTCATTTTTTTTTTATTTTTTTTTTTCTTTTTGTATGAATTTCAAAAAATGTCGTTTTATCAGTTCATGGCTTTTAAAATTAAAGTTAAAAAATTGTTTAAAAATTCCTAAAAGCAGGTTCTGTTGTTTTGTTTACCGAACTATTTCCGAGTCTAAAGGGGGTAACGATGTTTACAGTTTAAAGCGAGAATTTTACCACATATGTATGCATCTGGGTCACATGGAGTTGTAAATAGAAAATGTAGTGAGAGCTATAATTACAGCAATACTGCTGTTGCATATGTTAAAACACAAGGCAAAGCGTCAAACGATGGTGCTAAAACTGAACTCTCACGTTGTTCCTTGTGAGTAGGTAGCTTGATTTCAGCACTGTGAAATACTGGCTCGTATTATGTTATGAAATGAGACAGTAATAATCATACAGGAATGGTGATATAATTGTAGACATAGAGTGAAGATGGAACTGGCGATTGTTCTTGGTGCTGTTATCGTCATCATTGTTGGATACATTTGGTGGATCCGGCGTCATGACCGGAAGTTGCCGCCTTGTCCGGTCAGACCACTGCCTGTAGTTGGTCATCTGTTGTCTCTGGACAAAGACCCCAGGGAACAGTACAAGAGATGGAGGCAGCAGTGTGGGGATATCTTTAGGTAAATCTGTGTGGGGACATCTTCAGGTAAATCTGTGTGGGGACATCTTCAGGTAAATCTGTGTGGGGACATCTTCAGGTAAATCTGTGTGGGGACATCTTCAGGTAAATATGTGTGGGGACATCTTCAGGTAAATCTGTGTGGGGACATCTTCAGGTAAATCTGTGTGGGGACAACTTCAGGTAAATCTGTGTGGAGACATCTTCAGGTAAATCTGTGTGGGGACATCTTCAGGTAAATCTGTGTGGGGACATCTTCAGGTAAATCTGTGTGGGGACATCTTCAGGTAAATCTGTGTGGGGACATCTTCAGGTAAATCTGTGTGGGGACATCTTCAGGTAAATCTGTGTGGGGACATCTTCAGGTAAATCTGTGTGGGGACATCTTCAGGTAAATATGTGTGGGGACATCTTCAGGTAAATCTGTGTGGGGACATCTTCAGGTAAATCTGTGTGGGGACATCTTCAGGTAAATCTGTGTGGGGACATCTTCAGGTAAATCTGTGTGGGGACATCTTCAGGTAAATCTGTGTGGGGACATCTTCAGGTAAATCTGTGTGGGGACATCTTCAGGTAAATATGTGTGGGGACATCTTCAGGTAAATCTGTGTGGGGACATCTTCAGGTAAATCTGTGTGGGGACATCTTCAGGTAAATCTGTGTGGGGACATCTTCAGGTAAATCTGTGTGGGGACATCTTCAGGTAAATTTGTGAGAGGACGTGCATGTATATGTGTGAGATCAATAAATAAATCAAAAATTGTATATTTTAAGCTTGGATCAGAAACCTTCCATGAATGACCTACAATTTAGCTTCACAAAATTATATTCCTCGTGTTTATTATGTCAGCCACCTAACACAGTTTATATACCTTACAGCTTGTACTTAGGTAGCAACTTGATGGTCGTCCTGAACGGATATGACCTCATTGCTGACACCTTGGTGAGAAGAGGCGACTTATCCTCAGACAGGCCTAGAATGTTTATTGATGAGGTGAGGTCAAAAATATTTTTAATTTTTTAAGTTTATTGAGTCCTCGAATGGGTTTTGTGGGTTGTTGATTATTGCCATCTTATCTGGTCTGCGCCTGACTCGAATGTGTTAAAGAAAAACTCGCTGTGCTGATCAGACTTGTCCCTTGTATTTGTAGCTTATACCGAATCCGCACTTCTGTTCTTCTATTCAGAAGTTTACGTGTATTACATTCTCCTATATGATTTCTATAACTATTTCTACAAATATTTGTTACCTTAATTTTTTTTTAAATCATCATATTTCCCCGTTTGTTCCCAAGACACATAGGGCAGATGAAGAAGAGTTCATCTGCTTCAATGACCTCGGTATACAAGAGGATAGTGTTGTTATCTTTATTGCTTCCTTACAGGTACCCATCAGAGCTGGGTGGACTCGAGCCCGAGTATAGCAAGTTGGCAGTTGTATGTTCTACCATCCAACTAAGCCGTACCATAAAACTTGAAACGTGTCTAAAATGCGCGCTTTAAAAAGATCAATTTCAAAACTAAACAAAACAAAAACATTTTTTGTTACTACACTGTTAACTGTGTTTTTCAGGCCTCTGGGCTAGTAGGCAAGGGCGCGGCTTTCAGTTCTGGTGAAGTATGGAGAGAACAGCGAGCCATCACAATGCGACTTCTCAAGCAATTCGGCATGGGCAAGAACATCCTGGCCGAGAAGATTCAAGCAGAGATCGAATGTTATTTGAAGACGTTGTCAAACTTGAAAGGGGAAGCCACGGACATAAGAAGCGTCACCTACGCAAGTGTTTCCAATATCATCTGCTCTATCGTCATTGGTGAGAGGTTCGAGTACAGCGATCCCAAGTTTCAGAACCTGCTTCAAGACGTCGCCACGATTATGAAAAACTTACAAATGAATTCTTTTCTTAACTTTTTCCCGTTTTTACGTTTTGTCCCAGGTGATCCGTTTAAAGGTGCCGAAACAGTGAAAGCCATTTCCCAGGTGTGTGGGTTCGCTAAAGACTACGTGGACCGCTACAGCTGTGAAAGTGATTCGAGTTACGAACACGAAAACTTCATAGCGGCCTACAAGGCAGAGAAAGTCCGGAAACAAATTCACGGGGAGACAACCACGATGGATGACGCTAACTTAATTAAAATCGTTTACGAGCTCTTCATCGCCGGGAGTGAGACAACGTCTCTGATAATCACGTGGTGTATTTTATACATGGTAAACCACATCAAGGCTCAAAGGAAAGCATACCAGGAAATCTCTGATCTAATCGGCACTGAACGAGCCCCTAACCTCAACGACAAGGTACAGCTCCCTTATCTAGGGGCGGTCATCCAGGAAACGATGAGACTCGCGAACATTCTCCCCCACTCACTCTCTCACGCCGTGAACTCAGACGTTGAGATTTACGGCTACACGATCCCCAAAGGCACGTGCATCAGCCCCAACCTGGACTCCATCATGCATGACGAGTCCCTGTGGGGCGATGACGTCATGTCCTTCCGGCCTGAACGTTTCCTGGACGATACCGGAAAGCTGAAGAACATTCCGGAGTGTGTTCCGTATTCCGTCGGCCGTCGTCTGTGCCTCGGGGAATCGCTGGCCAACATGGAAATTTTTATCTATCTGGCAAGTATGTTCCAGAGATTCGAGTTCCGACCATCGGATTCCGCACATCCGCCGTCGATGAAACACGTCTTTGGTTTTACCGTAGCGCCACAGCCGTACAAAGTCAGGGTCATCGAAAGAAATGTTCGAGACACGTGATTTGTGTGTGTTCGAGACACGTGAATTTGGTGAGTTCTGGACACGTGAATTTGGTGAGTTCTAGACACGTGAATTTGGTGTGTAGTGATGCAGGAATGACAAAGGTCAATATGACTGGCATCAAGTCTTTGAATGTACATTGTTTTTATACTACGGACTCTTTGTTGGTCGACTCGTCTGTTGTATGCTTGTAGATCTACATGTCAATTGTATGTCAGTGGCGTAGCAAGGTCGGGTGTCACCCGGTGCGGCACCTAATGATGTCACCCCTCCCCCGTAAGGAAAAAAATAAATAAATAAATAAATAAATAAATATATATATATATATATATATATATATATATATATATATATATATATATATATATATATATATATATATATATATATATATATATATATATATATAATATTTGAATACATATACACATGCGTATACATATACTTACATTTTTTTCTTCTGGATGTGTTTGATTCCCCCCCCCCCCCCACCCCATACACGGATTAACATAGGTTATTACGATTCTCAACCAATCCTTTTTTCTGAGGCATATATATTGCAACGTTGAGTTGATATAACTCCCCCCCCCCCCCCACGCGGTTACTCCCACGGTGATTGCTTTAAACTGTGCTCAGATAATACTAACGATTTGAATCTATATTCAGTTATAAATTCAGCTGGATGTTGCATGTTTTCTTTATCATTTGCAGTTTTACGTCATGCTGTCAACCACCCTCCCCATCCACCCGTGTCGGGATTTGTCCACTTTGCTCTTAAAAACTATTTAATTTACTCTAATTAATCTTTTAATTAAGTGAAATTATCATTTTTCTGTATATATTTTGCTATTTTTTGCCCCTAAAAGGTGTCACCCGGTGCAGTCCGCCCTCCCCCCTCCCTCGATACGCCTTTGTGCCTACTTGTATGTTTGCTTGTTGTATGTTTGTAAGAATACTTTCAATTGTACGCATACTTGTATAGTTGTCTACTTGTTAGTTGTATGCTTGTAGATCTACTTGTTAATTGTATGCCTACTTGTATGTTTGTCTACTTGTTAGCTTATGCTTGTAGATCTACTTGAATGCCCACTTGTTGTATGTTTTGTCTACTTGTTAGTTGTATGCTTGTAGATCTACTGGTTAGGTGTATCCCTACTTATTGCTTGTTTAATTTTAGGCCTACTTGTTTACATCTAATCTCAACAAAATTACTGCAGTGTTATAATTACAGTAAAGATTTTTGTGTTCGTTTATAATTTTTTAATAACATGTTTCTTTTTGGAAACTTTAACATGATTATTTGTCAAGCTTTTAAAAGTAGAAAGTATTTTTATTTCTCTATCTTAACTTACAGTGGAAGTCATTCTCTTTCAATAAGAACCAAACACATAATTTAATAAAATTGAACAGTTTCTTGCAGAATAAAATAAATGTAAAAATATATTCATTTAACATTTAAATATTACAGATGACAAAATTGCATACCATTTGTTGAGATTTCAGATACAATCGCGTATGGTAAAATAATGCATTGGTATCTTTCCACGTAGAAGCTGAATACGAGGAAGTTCAAAGATTACTAGGAGGTAAGAAAACAAATATAACATAAACCACGTTGTATACAGCACTAGAAGGAATGGTCAGCACAAGTTTGGCCAATGAACACTGAGGGATTATTTGGTTGGTTTTTAACAAATGAATAAATTAAGGAAAACTTTGACAACTTTAGCAATACTGTGTCTGTTGATTATTTTACCCTTTTGTTATAAATATATATATGATAAAGTAGGACAATATTAGAGAAAATAGAATGAGAATTATGTGCAATATAAGAAAGTGAAAGGCCTTTATGATGGATCTTGTTTAAAAGAAAGACAAAATAAGACAAGATAAAAATTACTGCATATTTTGTTTATCTAACTGTAGCAAAGCATTTTTTTACTTACTAGATTATGGCAGTTCTTATTATTATTGCTGATCTCTATGAAGTTATGTATGGTATGTATGTTACAAAGTACTTTGTGCTGTCTCTATGAAGTTATATGTATGATAGGTTAGTTACAGAGTACTTTGTGCTGTCTCTATGAAGTTATATGTATGATAGGTTAGTTACAAAGTACTTTGTGCTGTCTCTATGAAGTTATATGTATGATAGGTTAGTTACAAAGTACTTTGTGCTGTCTCTATGAAGTTATATGTATGATAGGTTAGTTACAGAGTACTTTGTGCTGTCTCTATGAAGTTATATGTATGATAGGTTAGTTACAAAGTACTTTGTGCTGTCTCTATGAAGTTATATGTATGATAGGTTAGTTACAAAGTACTTTGTGCTGTCTCTATGAAGTTATATGTATGATAGGTTAGTTACAGAGTACTTTGTGCTGTCTCTATGAAGTTATATGTATGATAGATAAGTTACAGAGTACTTTGTGCTGTCTCTATGAAGTTGTATGTATGGTAGGTATGTTACAAAGTACTTTGTGCTGTCTCTATGAAGTTGTATGTATGGTAGGAATGTTACAAAGTACTTTGTGCTGTCTCTATGAAGTTGTATGTATGGTAGGTTTGTTACCAAGTACTTTTGCTGTCTCTATAACATTTGGAGTAGTGTACGACAAACATGTGTAAATCAAAATATTGTCTTGAATTTACATAATGCTAGCATAATGCATATATTGGTAACAAATGACATCAATCAAAAACCAATAAAATCATGTAAAAGTTGGATACAACATGTAAACAATAGCAACAATGTAAAGGTTCAAGAACCAAGAAGAAAAAGGTTTGAGCAGACTAAACACATTGATGAGACCTCAAGAGAAAAGTTATCTCTTTAAGTCAAGCTGTCCACAGTATTATCCAGCTTTTGATGGTCTTAAATTGCCAACAAAATGACCCTACTTTTAACCTATTGTAATACAAGATACAATCAAATACTGCCCATCTGCTAACATGTAAAAACATGTAAATAAAATAACATCAATGTTACAGCTTTGATCGTTAATGTATTTCATTAAAAAACATATTTTAATTACAAAAAAAATTAGCATGATTGTTTTAAATTTTAAAAATTATTACAATGCTGAAGACATACATGATTTTTTTTAAATTCCTTATATATATATTTTAAAAATTGTCTAAATTAGCAAACAAAAACTAGACTAGAATTAATGTGTTATATAATGTTTTCTGTGTATACATCCAGGAATAAAATCTTACAAGAATAATAAATAAATATGTCAACAATACACAACTAAATAACCCATACAAATAAAATTTATACATATATATACGTACATGATTTACACAAGACAATAGAGCTGTCTGAGTTAACACCAGTTCACACATTGCAAACATAAATCTATCTACATAGATTATAAATTGATTTAGGCTGAGCAATCCTAGTATAATAGATTTGCATGAATAGATTTGGACTAGTTTGGCTATCAATGGATATAACATTATTTTATATGGTTTTTCAAAAAATACAAAACTCAAGTTTAGTCACTGTTTTAGTTAAAAGATTAAATTTTATAGACCTAGAATTTTATGAATTTACAGTAGGGCTAGTAATTAAATAATTGTCTTCAATACAAGTATGGTTTAATAATAAAAAAAAGATGGCAAAGTAAAAACATGGATTGTACTAAACTTATCTAAACACAAGAAAATTGACATTTTATTAACTTGTAGAATTTAAAAACTTTAAACATTATATGGCAAGACAAACATATCTGTTCTACTTCACTGGCATTATCACATAAAAGCACTTTTTACAAAACAATTTTTTTTTTAAACTTTAAACACTAAGTAGAAAATAAAAAACATTTAGAAAGTGTATACCTCAAAAGTCCAAAAATAAATACAATGGAACAATAATGAAAGACAAAATGTATTACAGTAACAACAAATATGAGAAAATTAAAATATAAACTCCTCTGGACTTTTTGCACCCAGATCTAGAGTCGTGTGCAATCCTGTGTGAAAAAATAAATTTGGCTCTACCTGATACGTGGTTTTATCATTCAAATAAAAATAATCGTAGATGGCCAAATCTGTGTGGACGTGGCCTTTCCTGGACACCAGGTAGGCGCTGAGGTTATGCACACCTGCAGTAGGGTACAGCATGGCCTGCGTGCAGCACCCGTCAGCTTTCTGCAACCTGTACAGGTGTTTAGACACACGCCGCAGTTCACTGACATTCTGCCTGCCCAGAACCCAGCAGGTGAAGACGGCCAGACCAAACCAACACAGGACGATCCTGTTGATGCTGTGGTTGTACTTGTACTTCAGCAGGGCGCAGTAGTGCACTAGACTGCACATCAGAGTTGCTAAGACGCTGACGCTCAACAGGTCAAGTAACCTGCAGACATCAAACCCGTACCCTTGCCATTTTTTAGGATAGTACAGCTTTAAAAATAAATAATCAGTTTTATTTTTTTCTGGTTTTATGTTCAGTCTGTAATTTAAAATATGATCTAACACAACAGGGAAGTCTTTATGAGGCAGGGTGTCTTCCTCCAGTAGAATAACATACTGAGGATTTAACTTAGCTGCCGATAAAAGACAAAATGCATAATCAAAAGTCTCCTTTTCATACTTAGAAAAATGTGTTATCAAATCAACAAACCTTGTGTGTGAATGAGGGAGAGTTATGGATGGAAGCCCTAATGAATTGTCTCCATATCTCTTTGTAAAAGGCAAGAACTTGTACAGCGTCACTGCATCTAAATGCATGTCCGGGTAGGTATCAACATTGCAAATAAAAGGCACACTGTTCTTAAACAAATTGTTACTCTTCATTAAAAAATCTATTGAAGCTGCCGACTGTAACAAGTATCCCAGGCTCTCGTTACTAGATTCTCTTGTTCTTTTTATTGTTATAATCCCTATAGCAAATGTTATATTCCCAAGCTTGAGCCTGTCTCTATAGAGTTTTAAAGAATCCTTTGGGTCAATGCTGTTTAAGTAGTTCTGTGCATCTTGTGAGCGCAGGCTAGATGCGTGTTCCACATGGCTGACCATGGACGTCTCTCCATGCAGGTGACTGAAGACCTCAGAAAAAGGTAGGAAATCAGCCAGCAGTGAGAGTCCAGTCAGGTAGGCAGCCAGCAGGGCTAGCTTATGCCAGGTAAACATCATGTAGCAGCATTCACATCAAGGGAACATCTGGTGATGTCATTCACATCAAGGAAATATCATGTGATGTCATTCACATCAAGAGAAGATGGTGTGATGTTATTCACAACAAGAAAACATCACATTGGTAGCTTGGTGTAAAGCTGTCTGAAGACATCCTTACAGCCAAATATTTTTAGAATATCTGTAAAGGAAATAAATCTATTGAAAACATTTACCTTACACCTCAGCTATTAGAAGTGGGGTATATAATGAAAATTCTAACTAAAAAAAAATTGTGAATATAACCCAGAGGTGTAGCGAGAAGGGGGGGGGGGGCGGGGGTGCGGACCGCACCGGGTAACACCATTTAGAGGGGTGACTCCAAGGCAACCATTAGTAAAATATATAGAGAATTAATTGACGGGGGGGGGGGGCAAATCGAAAGTTTGAAGGGGGGTGCAAATCAAAAGATTGAGGGGGGTGGGTGCAAATCGAAAATTGAAAGTTTGTCCCGGGAAGAGTCTACCTGGAGTACAAATCAAAGTTAAGTAACTTAAGTCTCACTCTTAACTTCTTAAGTCTAAGACAGTGTTTCTTCCAGACTTTTTTCTCCGGGGGCGGGGGGGCACTTGAAATTTTCAGGGGGGCGGACTAAAATTTTTGAGGGGGGGGGAGGCAGACACTGAATTTCCTATATAAATTCCATTTTGATTGGGGGAGGGTAGACTTTCTTGTAGGGGGGGGGGGAATAAGATACGCATGCGCAGAGCTATCTTTTGCCGACTAAGTGGAGATGTTGGGGAGAAAAATCTTCTTCCGAGTAGTCACTTCGTTTTAAAAATGCAATTCAATGAATCAATCACTAGAGACTAGAGATGACTAGAGAAATAATAAAAAAAGTCTCATTTTTAGAATTATTAGAATGGTTAGACTAGATAGAATCTAGTTGTTTATTCTATCTTCTTTAGATTTAGAATTTCTGGAGAATCTATTCTACTATTCTTGATCTAAAATCTAGATCTAGAGTAGAATCTAGATCTAGACTAGATCTAGATTTCTAGATCTAGGATCTAGAACTACAGAATTCTAACTTCTACGACTACGACGTGTTTTCTTTGGCTTTTGTTTGTAGATCTATATCTGTCTCTTTAAGACTTAGTTTAAGTTGTGCTTTAGAATTTTTCTTAACCTCGTTGCATTAATAAAAGTAATAAGTCGAAGTTTATTAACAGTAATTAAAGGCCTACTAATTAATTCTATTCTTTAATGCAGTTTGAGTTATTATTTACAGCAAAACAAAACTAACCATTTTTGTCTTGTAATTGGCCAGATAAATACGTGTTGAAAAGAAGCCACGGGAAAATAGTGAAAAGCCCTCGGCTATTCCTCCGTGATGATAAAGAAATTTTCAAAGCAGGCCCTTGATAAAAATGTAAAAATACATTATGAAAGTACTCCTAAATCCTAACCTGTCTTTGCATGTAAACATTAATCGTAGGCCTGTCAAACCAAATTACAAAACAAAAACCCACATAAAGTAACATTTTCCTTAAATTATACAGGCTAATTCACTTAGATCTATAATAATATATACTGTCTGTAGCCAATTTCATTGACAGCAAATTGGAGATTAGTTCATCTCCGTCACATAATTTATATTTAATCTTGGATGACAGCGATTTGTGGCAGAAATATGATTATTGACATAGATCTAGTATTTCAATGCTTGCCTAAGTACAGTGGTGGATTTCCACCTGCTCACTGTGAACTTTAGTGGGGGATTTCCACCTCTCCCATGTGAAGTGTAGTGGTGGATTTCCACCTACCCACTGTGGAGTAGGCTTACAGTGGTAAACTTACATTAACCATGGAAAACAAGCCATATATTATCTTTCATATGACCATTCACTGAACCATTCTTAATAGCTTTTTGTCAGCAATGAAAAAAAAATCAAATCGTGAAGAATATGAGTGAGGTGGGTGTTTTGACCTCCACCGAACCTCTTTGAGTTCAAGCAAACCCAGAATTAAGAGCAACTGATCTAGATGAATCATCCAATATTACATTAAACTAGCTACTGCAATCACAGAAAATGTAATTCAATGGCTGTAATTACCCAGTTGCCTCTAGTTAGCACACTCTGGTGTAAGCATTATAGAAGCCAATCAACTCAGGTACCCTTGTGTGAGAAATCTGATGGAGACCTGGGAGGGACGGTGTGGCCTAGTAGTAGAGCGCTAGTCCACCCGGCTCTGATGTGTACCTAACTCATGTTAGGGAAAGTAGAACATACACGGCTGAGCACACTAACCCTTCATATGCCGAGGTCACAGAAACAGATGAACTCTACTTCACTTGCCCCATAGACCGTCAGGTTCAAAAGGTACATCAGAGCTCTAAATATAACGAGGAACCAAAAACTGGCTAAGTGTAAAAGAGATAGGGGATGCAGGAATGGTGTGGCCTGTAGTTAAGTTTGTTGGAAAAGTATATTTAAACCCTCTACTGCCAGGGACCATAAATCAAAGTTATCAGCCCTGTTTTTGCTTAACCCTACACCTTGCATGTGCTAGTGATAGTATGGCTGGACTTTACACTGGATCAGCTGTAACCTTGTTTACCCCACATGACAGGTAATGGCTAGAAGCATCAACAAATGTTGCCTTAGTCATACCAATAATGATACATTGGCACAAGCTCTAGCCTCAAACAAACCTTAGCAGTAGCCTAACCGTAGACTTAACCCTTAAGGGTAAGATTTTTGTTATTCATGATACCATTTATATGAATGTATGATGTGTAAGGCTAAACTATCATTTCCTTCATTTTATTGAATACATGAAAAAACACAAATTTTCCACTACTTGACTGTCATTTAATTTTTTTTCTATCCCGTTAGACATAAGAAAAATGTAATATATAAATTAATAAACTTGACTGACCACACAAAATAATTATGTTGAATCTAAGTCATTATTCATTTGTTCAAAGTTTGCCCAATTTTCAGTGGGCTGTGTACCCTCACCATTCAAATTTTCTGACGAGCTTAATGCCATTTGTACAGCTTCATGACTGTCTTCCTGGTTTGTAACATTTGTTGTTGTGGGTGTTATAGAACCACCACCACTGGATTCACTGGAAGCTTCTGTGACTCTAGAAATTTCCTCGTTGAAACATTCCTCGTAAGTCCGGGCCAAGATATCAGCTCTCACAAGCTCTAGGATCTCCTCTGCGTTGAGCGGCTGTTTCTCTGGGTGAAGTTTCCTTTGCACAAATGATATCTGGGCAATTTGCTCGTCAATGTTCATACTGTTAAAACTGCTGGTGGTGCTCTCCTCGATGTAGCGCTTCATCTGGTCTTCATGGAACAGAGCTAGTGAGGAAATTATTTCCCTTGATGATGGTTCACCTCCCTTCTTTGACTTCATGATCTTTTTCAACTTTGTTTCTGAAAAAAAAATTTTTATTGCTATCATAAATTTTTATACAAAATGTATCAATTGACAGCAGTGACTTGCAGTCAGTGGACTATAGGCACTAAGCTAGTTCCATAAGTCCTTAAGTTTACAAAATTTTGTCAAGTTTATAATATAACACAATATGTAACATTGTGGCAGAGAGGTGACTATCTATCCCTATATCTATGTTGAATGTTGAAACTCTTGTTTTTATTGAAATGTGTTTTTTATTTTTTTGTCAGCCCTGGCTGATCCACAGTTGGAAATCCCACTGCATGCCACTGGTTGACATTTTTTAGTTTCAATTTGTATATGGATTAAACCTAGTTTCAATTTGTATATGGATCAAAACATACTTAAAATAACATAGACCTTGTATACTAGTTTATATAGAATACACATTTGTAAGTACTAATATACTTGCTACAAGTTTGTTTAACATTTTATTATAGCTAATACTTACTTAAAGTGGAAATTTAATTAAAATAATTTTCCTATTAGTTACCTAATGTCTGAATGTATTTCTCAGAGTCAATCATTTCGTGCAAGGGGTCATTAGGGAGTGAAGGTAACACTGAGGTATCGTCGTCATCTATAACATCAGGTAACGGGACCCAAGGGTCATTGTTCCTTTTGTTGGTCCCATTCATTGTTATAGTCATCTGGTACAAATATCAGGGAGTCTGTTCTGCTGCAAAAAAAAAATAATACATCCGTAAATGTTACACTAAAATATACAAAGGCTATGTGCAAAAGAAACTAGTAAAGTTTGCCGATTTAATTCTGTAAAAATAATTTGAATAATTAATTAATTTTGAGGAGTAATAAAATCATAGTTTGTTTTGTTATACAGTGTGTGTGGTTGATCCCAGGGCTAGAACATTTTACTTAAGTCAAGAGGGTAATATGACACTGATAGTTCTATGATCAAGGTTGTGGTGTAATGGTATCAGTGGCGTAGCGAAGTCGGGTGTCACCCCCCCTGAGGCGTAGCGACCCTTCCCGGGGACAACACTTAATTTTTAGTGTTGGAAGGGATCGAGCCTTATCTGCCAGAGGGTTTGAACTCGAGACTTTTTTCGAATTTATCAACCATGAGCTTTGCCGACTCGACCATGCTTCCATCACAATTAAGGATTACGTGTCAACTGGTTATGCGCCATTGAGGCCATTGACTCTGATTTCAGCCTGCTTTTCTTTTTGGATTTGCTTCCATAGCCTTTGTCCAACCAAGAACAAACTACAAGGCAGCAGTTGTTTGATTTTGGAGTTTTCTCTCCTAGAAGAGTGGATGTCCCCAGCTAACGAGCCTCATCTGCCCAAGGGTTCTAACTCAAGACTTTTCGGTTTAGCAACCATGAGCTTTACCGACTCGACCACGCCGACCCCCCCCCCCCCCTAAAGATACATTTTAAAAGATAAATGGACAGCTGAACTGCAGGTATAAAAATATCCATGTAAGTTTAAGTATAAATATTGATATTTTATACAAATATAGCTGTCTTTTGCTAAATCTAGCTCAGCTTCCACGTAAATTGCATCCGGTCGCAATAATTTTTTATCAGCTTGTCGGCCATTTAATGATCTATCACATGTAGCAGACGCCAAACAGAGTTACCCGTATGGTGTTGAGCGAATGCTATTTTTAACAACAGTGCCGAGACACTGAAAAAAACGAACTAAAAAGTGCTCATAAAAAGACGGGTCAGGGAAGGTAATGGACGCGAGGGAGAAAGTATTCGAGAGGCCCATTAATTAATTTTAAAAATGCAAGGCATATTTACAATTACTATGGTGTTAAAATACTGTCTGTCTGGGGTGGGGTTTTTTTTTTTTCGGACTTTACTAAAGATTGGATGTATTAGATGTTTTTAATATTTTTGGTAACTGAATAAAAATTTTAAAAAAGCAAAAAACAATTTGGTTTTCACATGTAATAGTGACATAAACAATGGCATCCTGCTATTCGAGAGGCTGCCATAAATTTTTTTGTACAAATTGTAAGCTAAAAATAGAAAAACTAGGTCATGGGGTTTAAATTTGCATTGATATTTAAAAACTTTATCTGCATAGTTTTGTAGACAAATAATTATCAATCACGGAGTTCCTGTACAGCCAATCAATATGTGAATTACGAAAGTGAAACATACTGTTATAAAGTGTTATAACTTAGGCTTGATGAAAATAAATAGAAATGTAGCTTTAAAATCAACAAATTAATTTCAAGTTCACTGGATTTGCAACTTTTAAAGCATTTATTCTAAAAATATAGGGCCTAAAATTTCTAAATTAATTTTAAGCTAAAGTTTTTATTTTTTTATTATATTTACAGTCTAAATCTAAAAAAGCACATTTTTATTCCATGTCAATACAACAAAATGTCAACATGCTTATGATGGAAGGATTCTCGTCAACTCACTCGCCTCTATTCAACTCCCATTATGAGACTAGCTATACTTAACTAATAAATAACTATACAAAATCTAGAGATACTAGACATAGTACTAGTACTATAGTAGTACTAGCTAACTAGTAGATACTAGTCTAGATCTAGTTACGAGCTAGACTAGTCTAAGACTAGTGTATAGGTAGGCGTAAGTCCTAAGTGTAGTAAGTGTTAACTTTGTTAAGTGTAACTACTGTAACTAGATTCTAGTAAGAAGTAAGGCAAATAAGACTAGATCAGTAATTAGTAGTAAGTTAAGTAGTAAGTCAAGTCAAGTAATAAAGTAGTCAGGCCTAGATCTCCAGTGTGAGTGTTACTGTGTAGTGTAGTGTGTAGTGTTAAAGTGTTAACTGTTAACTTAAGATCAAAATTACTAAATTTAAAATTAGGATAATTTTAAATGGAGGCGAGCGAGTTGACGAGATTCCATCCATAATATTGTTGACATGGAATAAAAACGTGCTTTTTAGATTTAGACCGTAAAAAAAAATAAAAAAATAAAAACTTAAGCCTAAAATTAATTTAGAAATTTTATATTTTTAGAATAAATGCTATAAAAGTTGCAAATCCAGAGAACTTGAAAATAATTTGTTGAGTTTAAGGCTACATTTCTATTTATTTTCATCCAGCCTAAGTTAAAACCGGATGTTTCACTTTCGTAAGACAAATATTGATTGGCTGTACAGTAACTTAGTGATCGATAACTATTTGTTTACAAAACTTTGCAGATCAAGTTTTTAAATAACTATGCAAATTAAAAACCCCATGACATAGTTTTCTATTTTTAGCTTACAATGTGTACAATAAAATCAATGGCGGCCTATCCAATAGCAGGATGCCATTGTTTATGTCTCCATTACACGTGAAAACCAAATTGTTTTGGCTTGTTTTTAAATTTTCAATTAGTTACCGAAAATTTTTAAAACATCAAATAGACCCAATCTTTAGTAAAGTCCGAAATAAACCAGACAGACAGGATTTTATAACCATATTAATTGTAACTACGCCGTGTCTGATTTTTAAACTAATTTATACACCTCTCAAATACCTTTGAGAGTTTTCTCGCTCGTGTCCATTATTAATTTATTAAAGTCAGTGTAAAACCCTTACTGAACAGTTCAAACAGATATTCTAGATCTAAATTAAGATCTAATACAGAAGTCTGTAATTTCAAATACTAGATCTAGATTCTGGATCTACAATCTAGTCTAGCTAGAGGTCTAGATTTTTAATCTTATAAAATAAACTAAGAGATCTAAATTATCATTACTTTTTTTCTTTTTTCTTCTTGTCCACTCACAGATCAGTAGTTCGTAAACATCCGGTGGGAATAATCAGTTGCTAAAATTAGAATTCTGTCACGCTGTCAGTGTTTTGTGATTATGTGAAAAATGTTAGTAATGATGTTGCTAAGTACTAGATCTAGATCTAGATTCTTGTAAAAAAATAAAAAATCTATATCAGTAATAATAGTAATTATAGTTTGCCATGAAAGTTATTAGGCCTAATATTAAATAATAATAAATAATAATAATAAATACTAAAATACTAAAAATAGCTTAACTATTAAAATTAATTATTAATAGTTAGTAGGCCTATACTATATAATATATATACTAACAGACTAACAGTAACACATGGTGATAATAATTAATAATGGCAGCCCTAAATTCAAAATAAATTGCCTAAATAAATACTAACTATTAATACTAATGTTTACACATATGACAGCCCTAACACACACACACCCGTGTATACACAGATACATAGTAAAATTAGTATGTATATGTATACACACATATATATACATTATATTATATACATATTCATATATATTATATATTTATATATACATACATATACATTTACTGTCATTGACCAATGGGTAAATAATAATAAAGAAAAATAGTACAAATAGGCCTATATATTATATATTATAAATATTACTTTATAGTTTATAGCTTTTTTAATCATCCTCAAAAAGCAAGTAACATTAATAATTTATTTTAAGTTATAACATTAGAATTAATTAAATCTGACAAACAACGAATATTAGATTGGTATTAATGTTCTTAGTTAAAGTCTAGAATGTGAAATATAAGACAAATATTATTTATAAGCATACTGATGTATTGCGATATAATAGACCCCTTGAAAACTCAAGTGTTAGATGCAAAGAAAATTTCAAAATTTAGTTGCTAGAATTATACTAAGTGTCAAGTTAGATATGGTCTAGCTGAGTTATCAAGATCATGTGAAGCTGACTATTTCTTGTTTCATGACTGTACATTTCAGTTTTGGGCCACTGGTGTCAATGATATGTGTACAGTTATGCTTTGTGGCCACTTTGTCAGTTATGTGTAGTTATGCTTTGGGGCCACTTTGTCAGTTATGTGTAGTTAAGCTTTGGGGCCACTTTGTCAGTTATGTGTAGTTAAGCTTTGGGGCCACTGGGTCAATTATGTGTACAGTTATGCTTTGGGCCACTGTGTCAGTTATGTGTAGTTATGCTTTGGGGCCACTTTGTCAGTTATGTGTAGTTAAGCTTTGGGGCCACTTTGTCAGTTATGTGTAGTTATGCTTTGGGGCCACTTTGTCAGTTATGTGTAGTTAAGCTTTGGGGCCACTTTGTCAGTTATGTGTAGTTATGCTTTGTGGCCACTTTGTCAGTTATGTGTACAGTTATGCTTTGGATCACTGAGTCAGTTATGTGTGCAGTTTTTCTTGGGACCACTTTGTTGGGTATACAGAGATCTGCATTCGGCCACTGTGTCACTTTCATGTGTACAGTTATGTTTTTAGCCAACATGTTTATTAGACGTAAACAGTTCTTTTATTGACCACTGTGTTAATTAAGTGTACACAGTTCTGTTTTTAATTAGTTGTGCACATATCTTTGTTAGTTAATGGCCTGGTTGCTTGTTAGCTAGTGTGCTAGCAGATGGTGGGCTTGTCTGTTATTGCTCTGGGTGCTAGAATATTGGGTTTGTAGTCGTTATTGGGATAACAATTTCTGGTTAGTTTGCTGTTTGTTGTTGGCTGGTTGGCTTTCTTCGGGTTGTGCTGGTTTCTAGTAGGTATTGTCAATGAGACTAGTTACTGAAGTGTTGTCGGGTTGTGGATATATTGCGGATTCATTACTGATTGGGGAGTGATTAGCAGATGGCTGCTGATCGCAGATAGTGCGGGATGCATGTGGGCTAGTGAACCAACTGGAAAGCTGTTGGCTAATTAGTTTGTGGCAGGTTTGTTGACGGGCTGTTGTCTTGGTATTTGGGCTTGTAATATATTAATAAATAGTAGGCGGCATCTTGATTGTGGACGTGTGGGCTGGTAAAACGATGATTTATAAGCAGGCGTCATTTTTGTTGAGAGCTAGCAGGCTGTATGTAGATTAGTAGCCTGGCAGCTATGGGATGATAAGACATGGTTGTGGGCTTGAGACTGGCTGGAAATATATTGATGGATAGTTGGATGGCGTCTATTTTGTTATTTGCTTTTGGGCTGATAATATTTTGACCAATAATAGGTTGACGTCCATTTTCTTTTTGGTTTGAAGGCTCACTTCTTGCAGGCTGACTGAAAAATCACACTCAATACTCTATTGTAATCTGCAGATAAGCCTAGGATGGAAAGAGGAAGACTTTTCTTTTGGATATTAAGATTGGTCAGAAGATTTCAGAACATCTGGAACATCAGGTACCCTCAGCAGTTTGATTCCTTTGAAGCCTTTGTTTTGTTTGTAAACAGTCACCCCCTTGATGGGTTGCAGAATGTGACTACTGTTAGCTTGACATTGTCAGTCACTGATAATGCACCCAGACAAGCAACGTTAGAGATCCCACTCAACATTGGCCGACTGACCCACCTGGTCAGCTTACAGATGACCGGATGTGGCTTGACCAGTATCCCCTGGTCCTTTGTTTACCTGAAACACTTACAGAATTTGGATTTGTCTCATAATAAATTTCAGCTTCTCCCGAATTTTATTGGATGTTTATACAGCTTAGAAAACGTGAATCTTGAATCCAATCATTTAATAGTGTTGCCGACTTCACTGATCCAGCTTAAAAATCTTAAATTTTTAAACATAACAAATAATGTCAATTTGATCGGTCCACCTTATAATATATGCATGCAAGGACTTGATGCCATTATGAGAAATCTGGAGTTACGGACAACTAGGAAAAATTTGTGGAAAAATTCTAAAGCTTTTTATGACCCATCAGATTCTGCACTATCTAGCAAAGGGGCTGAAATTCCATCCTTGGTTGTGTTAGCTGTCAATGTAATCATCCAATCACAGCAAGATTTTTTAATCGTGTCATATGTTCCTCCTAGACTAAAGACATTTCTTAATGAAAAAGTTGAAGAAAATAAAAGGTCACTACAGGTGGCAAAGTGTGGAACTTGCCTGGGGTATTTTTCTAGTACATTAACATTTGAAGGACACATCTGCAAAGTATCTACAGTGAACAGGGGATAAGGGTTTTGTTTTATTTTTGTGTGTGAAATAAGTTAATTTTGTTTATGATACTTTAGTGATCACATATTCAATGTAAAAAATTCTTGATGCAAAACCAATAATTTAACATTTATGTAATCTCAGGGTAAAATTCATACCACTTAGATGTATTTTCATAAAACAAAACAAAAATTTCTATACATTGTATTTTATTATTCGTTTAAGCTATTTATAAATTGTTCCTTGAGTGAGCATGCCCTATCCACTACGTGATATATATATATATATATATATATATATATATATATATATATATATATATATATATATATATATATATATATATATATATATATATATATATGAAGTGACTAGCCAGAAGAAGCTTCTGCCACCTAGTCTAGGCTGACTGGAGTGACACCATGACCTTAAAAAGGCTAAAAATTAACTCAAATGACCTTAAATAGCTGTGCAATGGGCTCAAAAAACTCTTTTAGCCTTATTTTTCACATTTTTATGTAATCTACATTTTATCATTGATTTATATATTGATACTCATAATTGTATAAAAATATAAGCCCTACTTGTACAAAAATTGGCAGCTTGTATAAAATAGCTTGAGTGATTTTGTGAGTTTTCAAAATAATAATCATATTTATTTTACATATCTTTTTGAAATCTCTTTTTACCTGAATATATTATTAATCTGAGATTGTAATTTGATTTAGTTTATTTACAACAAATGATTTGTTTAAGTTTATTTTTCTATAAAATTATATCTTTATTTTAAAAAAGCTTGTGTTTTAGTTATCAAGTGTTTTAGTCACCTTTACAATAGGCCTAAATATCATTTTATTGGTGTGACTACAACAAAATATCAAACTTCAATGAAGTTATATAGCAAATGTGTAAAAAAATATATAATGCTTTAAAAGTAGACTCTTCAGTTCATTGAGTAATTCATTCCAAATTTCTTTTTTTATTGTTATTGACCTCTGCATGAAAAAACATTAGCAACTTGCTGTTGTTTTTTTATTATTCAGTCATAGATATCTAGGTACAAGTACCTTAGATATGGCATAAATATTTTTATATGCCTACATTGCACAGATATTTTAAATGTGACAAAAATATCCAGGCACAAGTATCCTACACATGGCTCAAATATCTGGGCATATGCAGGTTAAACTGGTCCACAAATACATACGACAGTACAAATTGATGGATTACTTTCACTTGATTATTTTCAAATAAAGGACAAATGTTATTTGACAAAATACGTGCTGCACCTTCAAATAGATGATTGCTATAGCTACAGTTTTGTAAAACACTTCGAGAAAACTTGACATGTTTTTAAAAATAATTTAGGCTTAAGTATCATTTTTAAACGTTCCTCAGTCTAGCGCTCGATTAGTGTGAGTTCAAAAGATGGGACACTCTAGTCGCCCCTACGACATGCTTCAGTTTGAGGATGGAAGGCGGGTCGGGATGGTACATTTGAAACCTCTGAAAAATGGAAGCCAAATAAGGCTAATAAATACCTGCAGCAGAATTGTGCTGCAGTGGATCCCGGGCCACTGCCAGATCCAGGGTAATGAGATTGCGGACCAGCTGGCAAAAATTGGGGGAAAGAAACCACAACCGGAAATTTCGCTACACCCAAAAGAAATAAAAAGAATAATAAAAAACAAACAAACGCAAATGTGGTCTGACACACACCCTCACTACAATAAAGATTACGGCTATTATAATCTGACACGAAAACAACAATACATAATCTTTCGACTTAGAACAGGCCACAACAGACTAAATCAACACATGCACAAAAAACTGAAGGTTGGGTGTGGCGAAATGTGCCCTTGTGGCAAGGCCCCGGAAAATACGGAGCACGTCCTTCAGGAATGTACTTTGTATAGCCAGGCACGAGTCAGACACTGGCCCCTGCCCACCCCACTCAGGGAAAAATTATATGGGGCACCTGCCAAACTGGAGACCACAGTCCGGTTTGTTCACGAAGTTGGACTTGTTGTCTGAATCCTCCACCATATTCTCAATTAAGAACGAAGAAGAAGAAGCCAAATAGAGAAAAAGAGCTCCATCTTCGCGATGCCTTCCCCCGGACACACCCGATGTCCAAACAGGAAAGGGATGAGCTCCTTAAACAATTTGACGTCCCCCTTTTCGTCAAGAAACCTCTCAGGTCTGAACGTCATGACGTCACTTCCCCAGATTTTCTCGTCATGCATGACTGAGTCCAGGTTGGGGCTGATGTAGCTGCCCCTGGGGATGGTGTACCCCCTCACCTAGACGCCCCTGCGACAGGTGTGGTGGAATGGTGCTGGGAGGATGCTGGCGTACCTTTGGGTCTCCATGACGACGGCGCTCTGGTATTTCAGCTTCACCTTGTCCCAACAACTGATTCTTTTATTCCCCACGTTATTATCTATTTCATCGAATATCTTCTTCTGTATGCTTGCGTCTTGCAATACAAAAATAATGCACCAAACTATGGTAGAACTTGACGTTTCCGAACCCGCTAAAACAAGCTCGAAAATTATTTTGGCCAAGTTTTTCTCGTCCATGTAAGTTTTAACACCAGCCGCGATTTTCTGACTCCGGATTTTTCTGTAGACGGCGATGAAACTATCGGTGTTTCCATCTTTTGAATTATCGCTACTTTGTACTTGCAAGTATTTCTGGCTAAAAATATCCGACACAGTTTTGGCGCTTGAGGCAAGTAGTTTAGCATGAAACACATCGCCTGGGAGGTATTTTAAAACGGGGAAAAAGTTAACAATGTTGTTTGTTCCAATGGCGCCTGCAAACACGGCCAGTTTGGACATGATGTCCTGCATGTTGACGTCATCGTACCGGAACAGCTGGCCAACCACGGTCGAGCAGATGTTGTTGGCCGTGCTGACGCAGGTCATCTTGTAGATGTCCGTCGGCTGGCCAGCGTACCGGGACAGGTGTTCCAGGTAAAATTCCACTTCGGCGCTGATTTTTTTCAGCTAAGACGTTTCTGCTCATACCTGAAAATGTCGTCACCAAACCTACCTGAAGATGTCGCCACCAAACCTACCTGAAAATGTCCCCAAACCTACCTGAAAATGTCACCACCAAACCTACCTGAAAATGTCACCAAACCTACCTGACAATGTCACCAAACCTACCTGAAAATGTGGTCACCAAACCTACCTAAAATGTCGTCACCAAACCTACCTGAAAATGTCGTCACCAAACCTACCTGAATTGTCACCAAACCTACCTGAATTGTCACCAAACCTACCTGAAAATGTCGCCACCAAACCTACCTGGGTGGGAACATTTGACAAAAGGGGAGGGTGGGAACATTTGACAAAAGTGGAGGGGGTGAGACACCGGTGGGGAGGGTGGGAATGATATGTCACCTGTGGGAGTTACAAGTGTCCAGTTTTGGGGGTGACATGTGACGAGTGGGGGTGGGGGGGGGGGGTGGCCTCTGAACATGACGTCAACCACAAACTAGTTTTAAATATGGTACGTTTTCTACGTAAACATAGACCGACATTCTATGCCTAGATTTAGATAAACAGCCCAAGGTGCTGAAAGTAGCCTACAATGTACATATATATATCCGCTTTTCTTGGAATTTACGCATTAAGTTAAATAGGCAGGTCAACGAAAATGTTTGCATCTTAGGCTTAACTTGTTTGTCGCATTAGGCACATCATTTAAGTTCATTTGAAGTTTTAAAAATTTAGGTTGTGATACATTGTCATTTGAAAAATAATAATAAATAAACAAAACAAAAATATTATTATTATTTAAGTTTTGTAGTATTTTTACAATTTCTCAGTAGTAAAAAAATAAAACTTCCCTTTTTTTTCTATTGTAAACACCCAACTGCTTAATAATATTAAGATTCTTAATAATATATGAATAAAATATTTTCTATGAATTTTTTTACTGAGGTACTCAGTAACAGTAACCACGGTAGACGTATTTTTGTTTTATTAAATTTCGGTTATTTCCCTTACACAGTTCATCCTTCAAAGTCGAGGCAGCGGCGTAGAAAATTATTTTAAAAATAGTTTTTGAAGGTGTTGAAAGTTTAACAAGTCGACCTCCCTCCCTACCTAAAATCAAAATATTTTATTTGGGATATTTTATTAACCAACAACTTTTTAAGGTTTCCGTCAATGAACAAGTCGATCACCTTGTGGTAGATAATACACTCGAAAACTCCAAACCTTTTTTTTTTGTTTCTGATAACATTATGATAACAAGAGCAAGTGTGTAGCCGTGTGTAGATGGTGTAGGAAAGTTAACATGACGCGTCGTGTCAAGTTATCAGCCTGACTGTGCTGTTATCTAGTAGACTGTCACAAAACATTTGTGGGATGATGGACGCTGGTCACAGACAGTAACATTACAACAACAGCATATTCTGTATGTCTAGTGTCCTCAGGTAATGTATTACAAAATTCGTTTATTTTATGTTGATTAATGAGTTGGTATTATTAGCTAGTATTTAATTAAATCTATGCATACATTTTGTCACAACAAAGCCCCCCTTCCCTCCAGGAGAAACTAAACTGCTTGCTATGCCTAAGGTAAATACAATTAGTCTTGAAATTATAATTGATCTTAACAATTAATGAGGTAGCCTATATGGAAATGTTAAAGCATTTGTTTAATTTAGTGTTCCAGTTTGTATTACTTCTGTTTGTCACAAACCATCTCTGGTAATTAATTACACAGGAGCCTCCCCTACAAAACACTGGGGAATGTGTATAATGATATGTGTGTTTTCATGTGTGTGAGTGTATCTGAGTAATCATCTGTCTATAAATATTATATATATATATATATATATATATATATATATATATATATATATATATATATATATATATATATATATATATATGTTGGCTGGTACCAAATTGTTGATTCTTAAGTAAGCATGTTGGCTGGTACTATATTGTTTATTTTTAAGTAAAATGGTAACTTGGGTGCTTATTAAAGGGGCTAAGGTGACTAGGACTAGTTACGGAAACCCAAGGGGTTAATCTAAGATATTGGGGATGAGCAGGCCAGGGAAATCTAAATTTTAATTAAAATGTTATCGGCTCACTCTGATCGTTAAGGGCTACGAGCTCTATGCAGGTGCATGAGTGGCACGTAGTGATGGGAAGACACCCGAGGTGATTTATGTCTAAAGTTGAGTCCGGGCATGCCGCTGGACGTCCCGGTAGAATCATTACTCATGATCTCTGTTGTGGTCAGTTGTTAGGTGTGAAACGCGGCGGGAGTGCCGTGTGGCCATACGTTAGCTCGAGCGGTGTATGACACGATAGTTAGCCCTGAGACTACGGGAAGATCTATAGCGGTCAGTTATCGGGTGTTCAACGCATGGGTGCATAGTGACCGGTGTTATCTCGAACGTCGAGAGATGGGACGGAGCCCAACTCGGGTTCTATAGCTCTAGGGAGATGATAAGGGGGGTGAGACTAACCTATATATGAGGAAGGGCGACTATGTTGAGGTCTCTCTCTCTCACAGACACATAGCTGAGGCTAGACACCATGGTCTAGGCCTCGGATGGTGGCAGCCTTATGGCTGGCCACTAAGGCTGGATTATTGGCCCAGCCGATGTTTTGTTGCTGTACATATGTGCTTCGTTCCAGATATTTACATATGTGACCTATGTTTATACATGTGGCCAATGTTGTACCAGTGGCCAAACGTCTGCCGTGTAGATATGTTCTTCGTTCCAGTGGCCATTATCTTTGTGGCCCGATGTTTGTACCAGTGGCCAGATGTTTTATTCCAGTGGCTGGAAATCTTCCTGCCGTGTAGATATGTTCTTCGTTCCAGTGGCCATTATCTTTGTGGCCCAATGTTTGTACCAGTGGCTCAATGTTTATTTCAGTGGCTGGAAACTTCCTGCCGTTTGAGTGTCGAGCTAGATTGTTGTGAGTACTGATGAGTATTCATAGATGGACTTTAACCGTGTTTGATTAGTGGAATCAGAATTAGTGATGATAACATTTACCCGTGTAATTCTGGGATTACATAACAGTGCAAGTAGTAAAGATAGACGAGACGATAACATTTACGTTTTTGATTTTGAGCTTACATAGCAGTACAAGTGAAATTAGAACTAGGAAGAATAACTTGGACAAATGTGATTCTGAGATTACATAAGCAGTGCAAGTATTTAATTTAGGACTAGAGGATATGACATGTGTGAATTCTGAGTTGTGTAAATGTAGATTTGCTATTCACACTTATATATGTGTTTTCTATGAATTAATGTCAGTTACCACGGTGACTAATTCTGCATTGAAATGTAAGTTTGATTATTTTTGTCTTTTTGACTTGTATTAGAAATTCAAGTGATGTTTTCTTGAATATGAAAGACTGGCCAGGTCTTATTTGTATTGTGTCTTTTGCTTTTAACATATAAGCCCTTGTGACGTCAAATGAAGATAAATAAATGCATATTATGTGTGTTTACGATGTTTTATTTTTAGTTTAATATTGGTGTAATTTAGATTTTAATTAGTTTTGCTCAGGTCTTATTAGACCCCTTTGTCACCACGCAAAGGTGCACGGATGAGTGAATAAGATCACCTCTTCGGTTTAAACCCCTAACATTTGGTAGCACGAGTGGGGTCCGTGCTTGAGCAAACTAAATTAAGATTTTTTTAAAATTGGTTTTTAAATATGTTGAGTATATGTTGGTTTACCTCAGCATAATTTTTTTGTTATTGCCTTTTTTATTTTGCATTGTTAACTTTTGGAACGTGTAGAATACGTTTAATTTACTGTAAGAATTTTTGTGTGATTACTGTTAATTTGTGTGTGTTCCTGATGAACACATTGTGCTAATGTAACACATTTTATTAGCACTGACGGAATTATTTTTAGAACATTTTTTATAAGAATTTAGGTAGCCAGTTAACATGCAACCTTTGTAAGTTTTAATGGTGTTGAACGTATTATTGGCAACTATGGTATTCGTTGAATAGTAATTATTGTAGATGAAACATGCTGTTACGTAATTTTATGACTAGGAAGACTTGGCTGATATTGGTACTGGACGTACATTATCAGGCCTTGTGGTATAAAATTATGTGTGACTGACTGGTATTTATCTTTATTGATGGCCATTTATTTGTAGCCTAAAGGCGTGATTTGTCCATTTTGGTTAACTACCCTTTAAAGATAAGTACGTGTTTATACCTGGTTTCAGTAGATGTTCATTTTTGAGACATTTTAGTATGCTCATTGATGTTTTTACCTTCAGTGGCCTTTACTGTAAACTAGAGGTATGTGTTGTGTCAGTAGGTGAACAGTAAAGTAGAATGTTTATCTCAATTAGTTGCCATTGTTAAGTTGATTGCGGGGACGCAATCATTTTTGCGGGGGAAGCGTGTTGGCTGGTACCAAATTGTTGATTCTTAAGTAAGCATGTTGGCTGGTACTATATTGTTTATTTTTAAGTAAAATGGTAACTTGGGTGCTTATTAAAGGGGCTAAGGTGACTAGGACTAGTTACGGAAACCCAAGGGGTTAATCTAAGATATTGGGGATGAGCAGGCCAGGGAAATCTAAATTTTAATTAAAATGTTATCGGCTCACTCTGATCGTTAAGGGCTACGAGCTCTATGCAGGTGCATGAGTGGCACGTAGTGATGGGAAGACACCCGAGGTGATTTATGTCTAAAGTTGAGTCCGGGCATGCCGCTGGACGTCCCGGTAGAATCATTACTCATGATCTCTGTTGTGGTCAGTTGTTAGGTGTGAAACGCGGCGGGAGTGCCGTGTGGCCATACGTTAGCTCGAGCGGTGTATGACACGATAGTTAGCCCTGAGACTACGGGAAGATCTATAGCGGTCAGTTATCGGGTGTTCAACGCATGGGTGCATAGTGACCGGTGTTATCTCGAACGTCGAGAGATGGGACGGAGCCCAACTCGGGTTCTATAGCTCTAGGGAGATGATAAGGGGGGTGAGACTAACCTATATATGAGGAAGGGCGACTATGTTGAGGTCTCTCTCTCTCACAGACACATAGCTGAGGCTAGACACCATGGTCTAGGCCTCGGATGGTGGCAGCCTTATGGCTGGCCACTAAGGCTGGATTATTGGCCCAGCCGATGTTTTGTTGCTGTACATATGTGCTTCGTTCCAGATATTTACATATGTGACCTATGTTTATACATGTGGCCAATGTTGTACCAGTGGCCAAACGTCTGCCGTGTAGATATGTTCTTCGTTCCAGTGGCCATTATCTTTGTGGCCCGATGTTTGTACCAGTGGCCAGATGTTTTATTCCAGTGGCTGGAAATCTTCCTGCCGTGTAGATATGTTCTTCGTTCCAGTGGCCATTATCTTTGTGGCCCAATGTTTGTACCAGTGGCTCAATGTTTATTTCAGTGGCTGGAAACTTCCTGCCGTTTGAGTGTCGAGCTAGATTGTTGTGAGTACTGATGAGTATTCATAGATGGACTTTAACCGTGTTTGATTAGTGGAATCAGAATTAGTGATGATAACATTTACCCGTGTAATTCTGGGATTACATAACAGTGCAAGTAGTAAAGATAGACGAGACGATAACATTTACGTTTTTGATTTTGAGCTTACATAGCAGTACAAGTGAAATTAGAACTAGGAAGAATAACTTGGACAAATGTGATTCTGAGATTACATAAGCAGTGCAAGTATTTAATTTAGGACTAGAGGATATGACATGTGTGAATTCTGAGTTGTGTAAATGTAGATTTGCTATTCACACTTATATATGTGTTTTCTATGAATTAATGTCAGTTACCACGGTGACTAATTCTGCATTGAAATGTAAGTTTGATTATTTTTGTCTTTTTGACTTGTATTAGAAATTCAAGTGATGTTTTCTTGAATATGAAAGACTGGCCAGGTCTTATTTGTATTGTGTCTTTTGCTTTTAACATATAAGCCCTTGTGACGTCAAATGAAGATAAATAAATGCATATTATGTGTGTTTACGATGTTTTATTTTTAGTTTAATATTGGTGTAATTTAGATTTTAATTAGTTTTGCTCAGGTCTTATTAGACCCCTTTGTCACCACGCAAAGGTGCACGGATGAGTGAATAAGATCACCTCTTCGGTTTAAACCCCTAACATATATATATATATATAATCTTGGAAAATTAACGTCTTTATTTCAGGGACCATCTGCGATCATTTGACCTGTCTAGAGTGACCAGTGTTTAGCCAAATCAACGTGTCTCCGTGACCAGTCATGGAAGTTGGCTGTTTCTTTATCTGGGTCAGGAGGATGATGAGACAATTCCGGTCGTTCTGGAACATCAGATACTTCCAGCAGTTCGGATCTTTCGAGGCCTTTGTGTCTCTTGTCAACACACACTCGCTCGAGGAGCTTCAGGAGGTCACGTCTATCAGCGTGGAGCTGTTCGCCCTGACCAAACTCTCTGGGCACACGTTAGAGATCCCACTGAACATTGGCCGGCTGACTCACCTGGTCAGCTTACAGATGACCGGATGTGGCTTGACCAGTATCCCCTGGTCCTTTGTTTACCTGAAACACTTACAGAATTTGGATTTGTCTCATAATAAATTTCAGCTTCTTCCAAATTTTATTGGATGTTTATACAGCTTAGAAAACGTGAATCTTGAATCCAATCATTTAATAGTGTTGCCGACTTCACTGATTCAGCTTAAAAAACTGAAAGTTTTAAACATAACAAATAATGTCAATTTGATTGGTCCGCCTTACAATATATGCATGCAAGGACTTGATGCCATTATGAGAAATCTGGAGTTGCGGACAACTAGGAAAAATTTGTGGAAAAATTCTAAAGCTTTTTATGACCCATCAGATTCTGCACTGTCTAGCAAAGGGGCTGAAATTCCATCCTTGGTTGTGTTATCTGTTAATGTAATCATCCAATCAGAACAAGACTTTTTAATCGTGTCTTATGTTCCTCCTGGGCTAAAGAGCTACCTTCAAGAAAAAATTGAAGAAAGTAGAACGTCACTACAGGTGGCAAAATGTGGAACATGTCTGACATATTTCTCGAGTGCTTTAACCTTTGAGGGGCATGTCTGCAAAGTATCTGAAGTGGACACGTGATGAAGGCTATTTAAAACGTTGCATTCCATTGGCCAAGCTAAAGGCTATTTAAAACGTTTTATTTCATTGGTCAAACTAAAGGCTATTTAAAACCTTGCATTCCATTGGCCAAACTAAAGGCTATTTAAAACTTTTTATTCCATTGGTCAAACTAAAGGCTATTTAATACTTTTCATACCATTGGACTAACTAAAGGCTATTTAAAACCTTGCATTCCATTGGTCAAGCTAAAGGCTATTTAAAACTTTACATTCCATTGGTCAAACTAAAGGCTATTTAAAACCTTGCATTCCATTGGTCAAGCTAAAGGCTATTTAAAACTTTACATTCCATTGGTCAAACTAAAGGCTATTTAAAAAGCTAGTACATTGGTCAAAGTATTGACAATGTTGAGATCACTTTGATTACATTAGAAAACCCTGATGTAGATCTACTCATGTAGGTCTTTAGCATGTAGATAGGCCTACCATGGAAATAAATTCCGTCTGTGTTAGATTGAACCAGAGAGAAAAAAATTTGAAACATTTTATTTTATGCCTTAAGTACCTGATTCGAGGGAAAACAGCAGTCTCTGGTAGATCTCAACCTTTCTTGTGATAATGAACATTTGAACTTTTTGAACTTTATATGTACAAAATGTCTTGTGTTACTAAACATTTGAACTTTTTGGAACTTTATACGTACACAATTTCTTGTGTTAGTAAGCATTTCAACTTTATTTTATGTAAAACAAAAAGTGAAATAATTGCATATAGCCTACCAGTGTTTATTTATCTAATTTCTTGAAACAAATTCTTACTCACAGAGTTAAATTATAAGCAATGCTATTTTAAAAACTTTATACTCTCCTTAAAGTTTCTATTTATTTTAGTTTGATTTTTGTGTTACAAATGCAATTTTCTATTTCTATGTGGCAATTTATTTAACAAAAAGGGCCTGCATTGCATATTTGACCATTTGATAACTAAGACCAGATTCCCATGCATCTTTTAGTGAGATAATTAAACATTGACTACAATTATACATTGCAAATTAATTATTATAAGAAGCTCAATAAGTGCAAAATATTTGTCCAATAGACTTAATTTTGGGCAGCTCTTTTCAACTGGGCCCATGTCAAAATAAGAATACTCAACTAAATTATTTCTTCATTATTTAAACCAGGGGTCTCCAAACTTTTCAGTCCGAGGGCCGCATTAGCTATCAAATTTCAGTTCGGGGGCCAGTTTCTTCCTGGCATGTCTTTAATATTTCTAGGCAAAGTTCTCAGCCATCACCAACAAACTTTTTTTCCGTGGACAAAAAGGTCTCCGCGGGCCGGATGAGAGGACCTCGCGGGCCGCATCCGGCCCGCGGGCCGTAGTTTGGAGACCCCTGATTTAAACAATAGTTTAGCACTTTAATTTTTAAAAATACCTAATTAACTGTATAGATTCTTTCAAATCTGATTAATAATTAACTAAATCATTACTGCATAATGTTAATATAATAAAATTAAATATTTTTAAAAACTTAACTTATTTAAAATAGCAGTAGCTTGAAGTCTAAGTTAGGCTCGTTCTATAAATAGATTTTCTGAGTACGTTAAGCTGTAATTGTTATAACTAATTATATAAATTACTTTTGTTGTGTTTTAATAAATTTCATAAATAGATTTTCTTTTAAATATAGTGTATTATATAGAATATAGTTTTTATATAATATATGGTTATGTATTTATATCATACAGTCTACTTGTCAAATTATACAGTTGTGTTGGTTATAAATATATTTACTTCCTGATGTGTGAGATTATGAAGACAGATTAAATGTAACATACACAGATAGGTGTGTAGGTTGTAGCTCTGATTTAGGCTAATATCAATGTGCTAGTAAGTAGATAAAGGACAATGTGTTGGGGTCAGCAATAGAGATGAATTATGTCATGAAGATAAACAATCAGATAAAGATAAAAAGTAGGATTGGGAAAGTGTGGGCTAAATAAATGGGTCAGTTGTGATGGTAAGATTTATTTTTGTTGTTGTTGTACATTTAGTTTGGTTTTCATTTTAGAGATAGGCACAAATATGTGTTACCTGGAATAAATGTCAGGAATGCAGAATAAATAAAATATGGAACATGGCACAAATATAAGGAACAAAGAATAAATGTATGGCATGAATATCAGGAATATAGAATAAGTATATGGTACATGGCACAAAAATCAGAAACATAAACAAAATATATGGAACATGGCACAAATATCATGAACATAGAATAAGTATGAGGTACATGACATAAATATCTGGAATCATGTGGAATGTCGAATAAATATATGGAACACGGCCCAAATTTTAGAGACATAGCACAATTATAAGAAAAATAAAACAAATTGGATATTTGCAAAATGATTTAGGGACTTGACATAAATATCAGGAACATGACATACAGTGCTGATGCATTACACTAATTTAAATATACATAAACTGTAATACACTCAAACCAAATTGGTGGTATTTTAATGTAAATAATGTTACTTTCGGTAAAACTAAAATATTTCAATTATACGGTAACTTTAATATATTTCTTATATATTTGTTATATGCTTTAGTTTTTTGCTGGTAAAATGATTTGTGTAAACTCAAGAGCGGCAACTGCTCTTCGTGTATAATTCTAATATTATTTGGGTTACCTCCCCTGCATCGTTCAGACACGAGCTACAATACAAGGCCGTACTATTTTTTTTCCTCTTATTTTCAAATGGAAGTAAAGATCACCAAGATCCACTTTCAACAACCCCATGTCTCAGAAATCATTCCTTGAATTGACTTAGCTTGTCGAGTAAAAAAAAAAACGTTTAAAACTCAATTCTTCTCAAATCTTGAACATTTCCATCTATTTTACAAAAAAAAAGTGTTTTAGATCGCTGTTACTGTTATTTCTCACACTGTAACGTGAAACTAGACTTAGACATTGACGGTATTTTAACAATCGGTCTGTTTGCTCCAATTATTTCTTGCCTAAAATAAAATTATTAAAAATAAATTACTGATTGGTTGTACAAAAATTTAAAAAAAAAAAGCCAAGGATAAGCCACCCCCCTACCCCTTCGTGTCATATTTATTTACACGATCGCCTAATTCTAGACAGATTCGACTACAAATAATAAAAATACACCTTTATTCACGGATGCACTGTGTAAAGTGTGTTTGATTTTTGACTTTTACTCTTCAAACCAACTTGATAAACTATAAAAATGGTTTTCTAGGTGTAAGCGGTTGTTACGTCTAAGGAACAGGGGTGGTGAAGGGGGTGGAATGTTGTGTATGAGGTGTGTGGAACAAGTTATGTTGGGGACGTAAGGGGTCGTGGATTGGGTTGTCAAGGGTCGCTGTGTGAGTTGTAAGGGGTTGTGTGTGAACTGCCAGGGTTCGCTGTGTGTATTACCAGGGGTCGCTGTGTGTATTACCAGGGTTCGCTGTGTGTATTACCAGGGGTCGCTGTGTGTATTACCAGGGTTCGCTGTGTGAACTGACAGGGGTCGCTGTGTGTATTACCAGGGGTCGCTGTGTGTATTACCAGGGTTCGCTGTGTGAACTGCCAGGGGTCGCTGTGTGTATTACCAGGGGTCGCTGTGTGTATTACCAGGGTTCGCTGTGTGTATTACCAGGGGTCGCTGTGTGTATTACCAGGGTTCGCTGTGTGAACTGACAGGGGTCGCTGTGTGTATTACCAGGGGTCGCTGTGTGTATTACCTGGGGTCGCTGTGTGAACTACCAGGGGTCGCTGTGTGAATTACCAGGGGTCGCTGTGTGTCGCCATGTCTGATGGGTGTCTACTAGGATCAGGTTTGACGCGGCGTAAGACGTCAGGTCTCAGTGGTCGTCTGAGCTTATCTGGGACGTCACAGCAAACAATGACCAACAGCACGCCACCTCCCCCCCCACCTCCCCCACCCCCGCCCACCTCCATCACATAGACTACTTTCTTTGTTTAAAATGCGACACTTTTAAAGAAAAAAAACACGAATGTAAAAATATACATTTTTTTTACGGGCATCTGAGTTCTCTATGCTCTAAGCCCAAAGCACTGCGAAATTTCGCGGGGAGCACTTCGCAATCTGACCGCTGTGCCTGGGCGAGGTCAATGACCCTTCAGGTCAATCTAGGTCACGCTTCTGGTCTACGGCGGGCGCACAGGTGGGGTGGGGAGGTGGGAGGCGGGGGAGCTACTGGCCCGGACATTCGATGCTTACTAGAGGCAGACACGTTCGTGGCAACTGTTGATGGGGGTCGGGGGGAGGGGGGGGGGGGTCTGGTGACAGCGTCATTACTGACACAAGGTTATTTCGTGGATGTCATTACTGACACAAGGTCATCTAATGACTGAAATTACTGACACTAGGTCCTCTGGCGACTGTCATTACTGACACTAGGTCCTCTGGTATTGATGTCCTCTCACAAGGTCCTCTAGTATTGATGTCCTCACACAAAGTCCTCTGATATGTCCTCACTGGCACCGAGTCCTCAGGTTCAGAGTTCGACTGGTACCAGCCTATGAAGATTTCTGGGGAATAGATTCTACCGCGATGTGTTCGATATAAAAAATTGTTTATAAAAAATAAACAAAAACCGGGGCTAATGGATTAAGGTGGATTTTCTTTAAGCTGTAATCATTAATAATTCCATGAGTCTTCAAATAATTGTTTATATCAAAACTACGTATATTTCCACTGATACCCCTGTCACAAACATACTACATGTAATTCATTATATTCACTTCGCCATTTTGCATTCACCTTCCATACCCCCCTCTCCTTTCTTTTCAATTCAATTCCCCCTTCTTCCTCCAGTCCATTTCATTATATATATATATATATATATATATATGTGTGTGTGTGTGTGTGTATGTATGTGTATGTGTTTATTAGCGCCAGTTCTAATTATAACGTCAGACCAGTTAATCCCCACCATCCCTACCAAATAATTACCCGAGCTATCGTCTGCTTGTAGCACTAGCTCCAGGTTTACTGACCCACTGTTTTCCCGCGCTTTTTCCTCCAACCTTGTGTGCGCATGTAAGCTACATCGTGTAATTGACATGCGTCGAATGTAAGTTACATCGTGTAATTGACTTGTGGCGTGTGTAAGCTACATCGTGTAATTGACATGCGTCGAATGTAAGCTACATCGTGTAATTGACATGTGGCGTATGTAAGCTACATCGTGTAATTGACATGTGGCGTATGTAAGCTATATCGTGTAATTGACATGTGGCGTATGTAAGCTACATCGTGTAATTGACATGTGGCGTATGTAAACTACATCGTGTAATTGACATGTGGCGTATGTAAGCTACATCGTGTAATTGACATGTGGCGTATGTAAGCTACATCGTGTAATTGACATGTGGCGTATGTAAGCTACATCGTGTAATTGACATGTGGCGTATGTAAGCTATATCGTGTAATTGACATGTGGCGTATGTAAGCTACATCGTGTAATTGACATGTGGCGTATGTAAGCTACATCGTGTAATTGACATGTGGCGTATGTAAGCTACATCGTGTAATTGACATGTGGCGTATGTAAGCTACATCG